GAGAGAGAGAGAGAGAGAGAGAAAAGAGACGCGCAGTCCACGCCGACGCCCGCACATCGGAGAACAACACAGAGAACGTGACAGCTACTTTGTGGCTTACATTGAGTCATTTTAGTCAGATACAGCCATGAAACTCTGGATTTCTCCATAATGAAGGCTGTCAGCGTTGTTTACCCGCCTGCTTGTGCTCGTGCATGAAGTGTACCGTGCCGAAACACACCTCTCCGAAGTGTTCCAGAGCCAAGGAAGTGTACCGTGCCTGAGCACGATACGGAGCGGTCACACTGGTCAAACGAACTGGACTTTAGCGTTGAAGCGTGCTTGGGCACGGTACGGATGGCCAGTGTGACCGCGCCCTGAGAAACTACAACAACAGTTCTCAGATAGAGATGCTGGCTCAGTCTGGAAAGGGCTCTGTCAGCTCACCAGCTACAAGCCTAAAACCCCCCACTCTGCAAGTGACCTGCGTCTGGCCAACAACCTGAACGAGTTCTTCTGTCTTCTTTGAAAGACAATGGGACAGCCCAGAAACCAACGACTCCACTCCACAACTCACCTCCCCCACCACAGACCAGACCAGACCAGACTCTGTCTCTCCCTCCACCCTGAAGCACTGGTGATGAAGTCTTTTGAGCGCCTTGTGCTCTCCCACCTCAAAGACATCACAGACCCTCTGCTGGACCCCCTGCAGTTTGCCTACAGAACCAACAGGTCTGTGGATGATGCTGTCAACCTGGCCCTCTACCTCATCCTCAAGCATCTGGACTCAGCAGGAACCTACGCCAGGATCCTGTTAGTGGATTTCAGCTCTGCTTTCAATACAATAATCCCGGCTCTGCTTCAGGACAAGCTCTCCTAGCTGAACGTGCCTGAGTCCACGTGCAGGTGGATCACAGACTTCCTCTCTGACAGGAGACGACAGGTGAAGCTGGGGAAGAATGTCTCGGACAGCACTGGCTCCCCTCAAGGCTGCGTTTTTTTCTCCTCTGCTCTTCTCCCTGTACACCAACAGCTGTACCTCCAGTCATCAGTCTGTCAAGAGATGACACCACCCTCATTGGACTCATCTCTGGTGGGGATAAGTCTGCCTACAGGTGGGAGGCTGACCATCTGGTGACCTGGTGCGGCGAAAACAATCTAGAGCTTAATGCTCTGAAGACAGTGGAGATGGTTGTGGACTTCAGGAAAAATGCAGCCGCCCCCAGTCCCATCACCATCGATGAATCCACGGTGTCTACTGTGGAGTCTTTCCGCTTCCTGGGGACCATCATAACCCAGGACCTCAAGTGGGAGCTGAACATCACCTCCCTCATCAAGAAAGGACAGCAGAGGATGTACTTCCTGCAGCAGCTGAAGAAGTTCAACCTGCCAAAGACCATGATGGTTCACTTCTACACTGCCATCACTGAGTCCATCCTCTCCTCCTCCATCACAGTCTGGTATGCTGCAGCCACAGTAAAGGACAAGTGCAGGCTGCAGCGCATCATCCTCTCTGCTGAGAAGGTGATTGGCTGCAACCTGCCATCTCTCCACGACCTGTACACCTCCAGGACCCTGAGACGTGCAGGGAAGATTGTGGCCGACCCCTCTCACCCCCTGGACTGTTCGAGGCTCTCCCCTCTGGCAAGAGGCTGCGGTCCATCAAGACCAAAACCTCTCGCCACAAGAAAGTTTCTTCCCCTCTGCTGTCAGCCTGATGAACAATGTCCCTGCCCTCCCCCCTCCTCCCACATAACCCAGACTCTCATCAGCCCCACATTCAGTAAAACATCAAAGTAATGTAAATGCTGAACTGTTCTTTATGCGTTACGTTAACACCCACTGGACTTTAAAAATGTATCTTCCTTACATGCACTCTGTGAGTAGTTACACACTATAAGATTTTTTTTCTCATAGTCCACTGCACAGCTCCTACATTGCACCTTTTGTACGTTTTGTGTTTTATATTTTTTATATTTGATATTTTACATTTTTAAATTGTATTTTATATATTGTAATAGCTTCTTATACTGTATTATTTAATTTGTTGCTAGGTCTGCTTTATTTCCCTGTTAATTGTTTAGCGTCAAATTCCTTGTATGTGTAAATGTACTTGGCAATAAACTCGATTCTGATTCTGATTCTGATATGATGGTGAAAATCCCCTCGAGGGCCACAATATTAATGGTGTCCTTACGTGACAGCCAGTCTGCACTGTATTAAAGATACTGTGATTTGCTGTGTCACCCAAGCCACCAGGGTCACGCCTCCATTTTGTTCTGGAACCCATATGTCACCTTACAGTGTGACAAAATGTAATTTGCTCGACATCATACCCAAAGCATGTGTCATGGACTGTTACAGTCAAGGTCACTGTGAGCGGCCCTCTGCTTCCCCATACATGGTGTGTCCTCATGATTTGTGATATCAGGTCATGAGTCACCGGCAGGAAGGTGAAGGCACTTTAAAGATTAACAAATTCCTCTTGAAACATGTAGTACGTATACTCAGAGGCTGCTGAAGATCATCCTTTATTTTACTCACTGACCTGTTTTTGCACCCCAACAAGATTTTGTGGTATAAAATTAATAAAATGTGTCATGAATGCCTTGAGAAAGAAGCTACTGTCAGGTGTTTAATTTGCTGACTTAATTATCTTATTGTCTTACCTGAGCCTGCAGAAAAAGCACTATATCATGATATACACTGTATGCATAATGCAATACAAAATTTTTTTGATTGATGGAAGATTTCCTATTATTTTTGTCAGTCTTTTTTCTGTAATTTTTTTCTCCACTTTTTCTCTTTTCCCACTTAAATTTCTCAAACTTTCTCTCTGTGCAAGATGTTTGACAGGTTTGATTCTAGATTCTGTCGGGGCCCTAGGCCAAAATTCATTGGAGGCCCCTCCCTTTCATTGACAAACTTTGGTTTCCACAGAAATAATGCATGCCACGCTTAGCAGGGCAATGAGAGGGAGTGCTGTCAGATGGGGTCCCCTTAGGGAGGTATCTTACTGTCATTGCAAAATTTGCACATTTTGAGACACTGTTGTGGTTTAAGTTTGTCAGCCCTTGGGGGGGCCCTACTAGCCCGGGGCCCAAGCAGTTGTCTGCCTTGCCTGTTGACAAACAGTGCTCTGATGTTTGATGATTGTGTTTAAAATACCTCAAAGTTTCACTTTTAAGGGGCTGATGTCATTTTTTTACTTGACCCTGAATTTAAGTTATTTTACTGATTACTCAAAAGCTTTCATTATTTTGCCTACATTTTTAAACTTGATTCTTATATGAGGTTAACAACGAAAACCGACAGCAGTGACAGCTCTGACTACAAAGGTGGACGGAATAAAAAACAGATCTTACTGATTAATACAGAGGTTCAAAACAACAGGTATGCTGTAACAAAAACAGCTTTGCTTGACAGGCTGCAATCATTTTCTTTTTCACTACAAGTTTCACACGGGACACTAAGGACTGAAAGTGCTGTCACCCTGTTTGACCAATTTGATCAAAACATCAAATTTAAACTCTGTATACAAGATTTGAGCTGTCTTGTTCTATTTTTCCAATCATTCTTGGACAGGAGAGCTTCTATGTTGACCCCCTTTTCAAAATTAACTCCTCATCCAAATCACACTACACACACATACAGTACATAAAAACTTTAAAGCTACTGTGATGAAATGTAGCTCTGTGTCAATCAATCTTATTCCTGAAGGTCTGAATTGCTTCTTTAGGTGAGAAAGAGGAATCAGTCTAAACTTTCGTCTGTTTCATGACCAGCAAAGCTTCTAAAACATTCAATAGCCTAGAACAGAGCTATGATTTTTTTTGACTTTTTAAAAAGTTTTGATCCCACTTTTCTATCTTTGTGTCTATGAAAAGATTTTTGTTTTTCAGTTTGTACATTCGTATTATGTTGGTTTTTTTCACAAGCTTGTCTCTTTCTGAAATTGCAGAAATAAACAGCTCTCCACTAGAAAAACGTGTTAGAATTCCACTATCCCCACCCTCATCATGTTTTGTCTCTCTGTAGCGTTTGGGAGGATTTTTTTTGTTAATAAGAAGGCGGCCACACGATAAATAACATTGAATATCCAATCCTCCTGGTCTAAAAAACCCCCCTAGAAAACATGGTGTACAGCGAATGGAGAATAATTGCACAATGTATCCCCAAGCTGACACAGTGCCATGCAATTCCACCTTATAACAAAAGCTATACAGTAGATCCAGCAGCTGCTATTTTCACAGGGAATCCAGCCATGAAATGTGTTATGGACCGTTATAATGACTTGAGAGGAGTGGACAATGCGGCTGCATTTGATGTAGATAAACATTACAGTTGTGAATACATATAGTAGTGTGAAGCACCTGAGTGAGCAAACACTATGTTGTGCTGCAATTGACCTCAATTTCTAGCCGCATACTTACATATTATCAATTCTACCATAAAATATAAACATCTTCCTGTTTTGAATAGTATATCCAGTAATATGAATTCCCATTTGTTCCAGTGAATTATTAACCTGTGACTTTTTTTCTTAAGATTCTTAACAGAAAGTGGAAGAGTTCTTCATGTTTGTTAGGTAGTAGGACGCTTGCTGTGGTTAGGTTGTACAATAGCAGCATCTTCCTTCTCGAAACACAGCAGAGCATGATGAATCCTCATGGGCTTAGCAGAGCTGTCATGCTTTCTTAACACCTTCATCACAGTTTTTCCTCCCATAGCTACAAGGTATAAATGGGTCACAGGATCATCATATTGCAGGGCTGTACATTTAAATACCTGCACACACGCTGAGAACAAGAATAGGCATTTTTACAAGTCTAAATGTGACGTGATTAGTGTTTGATAAGACACTGCATCTTTAGAAGTAGAGTTGATGATAATAAGTGTGAAAGACTTCTCAAATCTCTTTCTTCCATGACAAACAAAACAATGTCTGTATCATGTTTTTATCGATTTAAATTTCCATTTTAAACTCATCACTGTCTCCGATTCCTCTTTCCATCTTCTAGTACAAGCAAGTGGAGCAGTACATGTCCTTCCACAAACTCCCGGCTGACTTCCGACAGAAAATCCATGACTACTATGAGCACAGATACCAGGGCAAGATGTTCGATGAGGAGAGCATCCTTGAGGAGCTTAACGAGCCACTGCGCGAGGTATGAAAACACCCAAAGCATCCCGTATAATGTGCTCATTCACCCTCAAATGCACATTCCCTAATTCTTCAGTGAGTAAGTGGAGTGGAATAAATTCATTATGGTGCATGGTTACGGTGTCTTTTTTCATAACCAAGTGGTTAATAGGTCATTCCCAGCCTTTTTATCTACGATTAACTGTTTTAACAAGTTTACTTACTTGGGAGGGAGTCAATTAAGTGTCTCCTGAAGATTACTTAATTAATCTATTAAACATTAATTATTAATGTAATCTTGGACGGCAACCTAAGAAAACTGTAGCTACACTAAGTGAAGTCCTCCTGCTTCAAATAATGAAGAGAAAAAAATGTGCAGACTCAAAAGAGCTTCATCAAGGTTACTAGAAAAAGCTAACCGATTCAAATACAGTGTTTGCTCATCTTGATTGGATAGAAATACAATGACCTCTAACCATCACTTGTAAAATTGGGATTTATTGTTCGACCCCCAAAACAAATAAAGCTTAATCTTCACACATTTATCTGATGGTACTGATGTATGAAATAAGGTAGTTTAAGCGTTTAGCAATGATACAATGCTGTAATGTGCTGTAATGTGCTGTAATGTTACAATCCCTTGCTTTATTCCTGGCACCATTCAGGAGATCGTCAACTTCAACTGCCGTAAGCTGGTGGCCTCTATGCCACTGTTTGCCAACGCCGATCCCAACTTCGTGACGGCCATGCTGACCAAACTGAGATTTGAAGTCTTCCAGCCCAGAGACTACATCGTCAGAGAGGGCACCATTGGCAAGAAGATGTACTTCATCCAGCACGGGTCGGTCACCGTCCTCACCAAAGGAAGCATCGGCATGAAGCTAATGGACGGCTCATACTTTGGAGGTAAACTGTCACTTTGGGATCTCAAATTACTTTTCTGTAAATCTGTTCTGCAATCTGGTATTCTATTTTTCATATAGTAACATTTCAGAAGATATCGTCATAAAACTGAATCAGAGAAAATATTAAATATTCTTCACAATAAGACCGAATAGAATAAAATAAGAGGATAGAACAGATTTTTTCTATCTTGTAATTTGAGTCTGTTCCATTCTACTCTGTTCTTTTTACTCTGGTTTGTACTCTAGCTCTGTTCTTTAGCAGACATTTAGCAGGCTCAGCAGATAGTAGTTACCGTTTACAGGCATTAAGAATGACAGTATTTAAATAATCAATCTTCTTATAAAACTTGTTCCTTTCTACTCTGTTCTTAATAACACTTTGAATCTCAACGGAATCCAACCAGTAACATCCCATATATGCATTTATTTGTCTAGTTTCAGTTGTTGCAGTAAGTGGAAAACCCAATTAAAGGAAAAAATTAAATGTATTTTGACATATTATGTCTGGTGTTGCCTAACAGCCACGTCTGTTCCACTTTCTCAGAATGTTATTCCTCTGTGGCTTGATTAGACACATGTGTGTAGAGGTAGAGGTGTCTCGACTGACTTCCCAACCAATAAACCCAGACAAACATGTACACACACACGCACACACACACACACACACACACACACACACACACACACACACACACACACACACACACTCACACCTGCACACTTATTTCAGTCTTTGGGCTTTAACATCTGGTGTCCTCTGCAGCAGACCATAGCTCTCTGTCAGTGATGTTGATTTGCCAGAAGCCCAGGGTGCCAGCAGAGTGGCGCAGATACATGACACACTGAGGCACATACACATTACACATACCCACAGCCAATTAATAACAGCTAATTAGCACAGCGATGGTGGGGCCATTTGTAATGTCAAACATTGACTGTTCAGAGTCATCCTGCCAACATGGAGAAAACTGCAGGTCTCTCTTCATAAACAAAATTATTAGTGGTTGTGGTTTACAGGGATAGCACAGTTTGTCCACGGTGGCCTAGGGAAGTGTCATGTGAATTTGTGGTAACATTTCTGAATTAGTAAAAAAAAGTAGTGTGCGCATATCCAAGCAAAATGCATACAGGTGCAGGACAAAAAAAGTACAAACTGCAGAAAAAAGAGAAAGGTCTGCACACTGTTGTAAAATAAAGTGGCTCATTGGGAGCTGAACTGTGTGCGGACCTTTCTCTTTTTTTCTGCAGTAAATGTCTGAATTGGTAATAAAAAAGGAAATAGATAGTAGTTTCAAGCTAGAGAAGTACTTTTCAATATTCTTTCTAAACTCAAATACATGTTTACGACTTCAATAACATTTTAACATTAGATCCCATATTTGATACGTCAACTTTGTGAGAAGATCTTTATGTACTATCTCTCCCAGTCTGCAGCTCTGCTACAGCATGTTATATAAAGTGTCTAATACTACATTAATAGAGTGACATGATGACCAGCAGTCACAGGTTCCTTCTAAGGGGCTATATGTAGTGCATCCTAAAGCTTTTAGATTCCATTACACAAGCACAGAACAAAAACACATATATAGTAGTGCATCTATCTGTACAAGCTATTACTGTATATTAATCTACTTAGGAAATATTAATCCCATATCAGATAGAGAGACAGCATGGTCACAATGAAGGTCTTACTTAAATACCCTGTATAAAATCTCATGTAGTTATAGTACATCCTGTATGTGGGTTTGAGTGTACTGTATGCATCTGTTCCATAGAGACAGTGTGTGTGTTTCCAGGGATAGACACACTGATTATGTCTGGCTGCTGACTCCTAGATCCTATCTCTATGGCCCAATGTTCTTTTTTCATTTTTGCCTTGAAGGAATAGATAAACCTTTTTTGGGGAACTGTTTGTTGTCATGCCATGAAATAGACAAGATACTACTGCTCTCATGTCTGTACACTAACTCTGGAGCCAGAGCCAGCCACCAGTGAACTGAAATCAGTTTAGAGATAAGAAGAAGGAAACAGCTAAGCCCGCTTGTCAATAGCAAAATCAATATATCAGGAGCTCTACTGGTTAAAAAAAACCTTGTTGCACATTTTTGAGGAGGGAATTTTCGTTCTTTTTTGATCATTTACCGTTACAATCTTCTTCAGTTTTCTTTGGCTCTGCAATGATGTCTGTTCCTACAATACTTAGTGAAGACCATGAACAGGAGAAGTTTGTTAGCAAGCCTTCTTGCCTTTAAATCCATAAACTGGTGCTCACTTCTCCAGGGAGATCAATTATGTTTGTAATCTAGTTACATAGTGCATGAGCAGTTGATAAGGCTGGTATTTTAAGGTTGAAAAAAATGAAAAAAATGATGCTTTTATCAGTAGAAAAAAAACTAAATTGAAAAAAAAAAGCAGAAATCTCAGTAAGTCACTGACGCCGGCCAAGAAAGCTTCCAGCACATAAACCAAATTTAAACCAAAGCTTGACATTTTTACATTTCAGTCTAGTGTGCCTTAAGGCTGACTATAGGTAATTATCACAGATAGACCAAGGCAAGTCATTTACCCTTCTCTCGCCTTTAGTCTAAATTAAGCTAACCAGCTAGTGTTTTGTTTTTTTTATTACATTTTTACCCAATAGATATGAAATTTGTATGACTCTTAGTTTCATATGGTAATGAAAAAACAAATTCTAAAAAAAAAAAGTCAGAACCCCCCCCCAAAAAAAAATGTTTCAGTGGCCCTAATCCTCTTTTGCACTGTAACTTCTGATTAGAAAATGTTTTTAATTTTTTACTGACAATTGAATGTATTCATGTCTAAATTTTTTCTCGTATTCCTTTAATTTACTTTTTATTTTTGCATTATGCAGCAACCGTTTTTTCAGACAGTTTCAGTCCAATCCAGCACATTGGCCCTTAATAGTCTGCATGTTCAGAAAATAGCCTCCTTGGGTTTTTCGGGTTTTTTTTCTCCCTTTCCCAGACAGAGTCAGTGAAGGCGGACCTTTCAGGTAGGGGAAAAGGAGGTCATACGGTTGTCAAGACAACAGTCAGCCCTGGCCCATTGAGGAAAAAAGCTAGAAAGAAGACTATACAGAGGAAAAGGAAGGGGAACATCTGAATGAAATGAAGCATAGCGGCACATCTACAAATATAGAGTGTGCTTCCATCGCACACCTGTCATTGCTTTACTAGTGCTCGTGGAAATACTCTGTTTTACCTTCAGTGGCTCACACTGGCAACACACAACTGCTGCATGCATAAAACATACTTATCAAACATTGGCTCACTGTCGGACGATTTTACAGCCCATAAAACAGTGGAAAGTGAATCTATGAATTAAAACATCGAGACAACTGCAATGAAATAGAAGAGGGGTTCACTTGGAAATATATTTTTCAGATATGGTTTCCAGTGATGTTTAACCTATAGGTGGTTATTTCGTCAGAGTGTGATAGCAGGGGCCGATTAAATAACATCATCATTTTTTATAGTAGATTGTCTTATCTGTCTGTGTGTCTAAAATCTAAAAAACACCCTAAAATCTGTCAGTCTGCCATTTTGAAATGTAACTATCTCTATTCGGGTCTTTCTTTCCCTCCAACAGAGATCTGTCTGCTGACCCGTGGCAGACGGACAGCCAGCGTACAAGCAGATACCTACTGTCGCCTGTACTCGCTCTCTGTGGACAATTTCAATGAGGTGCTGGAGGAGTATCCCATGATGAGGAGGGCCTTTGAAACGGTTGCCATCGACAGATTGGACAGGATAGGTAAGACTGCCACGTGAATTGACAGAAAACTCCACCAATTACCTTTACTTGAAGTATGTATGTTTAATACTGAATTATCATTTATTATGACCAGTCTGTTGGGATGTTAAAACTAGACCTTTGTATAACGGTCCCAAAGATTTTGTCTGGTTTGATTTTACACACACTTAGAACATTGTTTTATTCTGACCTTATGTCTCCAGTTTGATGATTTGAAATAAGGTCAGATTCATTTGTCTACAAAACAGACAAATACATACAGATATCTGATATCCTTAATTATTTAAGAGTCTTTTTTTAAAATTGTTTGAATACGAGCATATCCAAACCATGACACCATGGAGATTCAGATTCACTCTTAACAATAACAAGTCATCAAGTCTCTGTCCAGTCAACATGTTCATGCATTTTAAGCTCTTTATTGTTTGCAGAGCAAAACGTAAGCTTCCATCCTGACTTAGCTTATTAAATGTGTCTTGGAGATTTATTCCAAGAAAATAAACTTTATGCCTTACTGTTAAATACAAAGGTATGGTTTCTTCATAAGCGTAAGTCTCCGTCATAAGATAAAATGAAGTGTAAGGAAAATGTATTCATTCATTAGCATGATGTCTCTGTCAAAACACAGCGGTAACTGACAGCTGTGATGTACTGTTTGAATTATCCTAGCAGTGGCAGTGTGTGGAGGAAAAGAGTAGTGGCTGAAAATGTATTCATGGCTGAGAATCATTCATTATGTCTGTTCAATGTAAATCTCTCTAGGTGGATACATGTCACTTGTTGTTTGACATATTAACCCTTAGAAATAAGGTGACAAAAGCTCTTGGGAAAGATTGCTCTTTGGTTTCTCTGTACCTCCTCTAGATTAACCCTCACAATTTAATGATTATTTGAAATGACTGCTCATTAGAGAACTTTTTTTGGATTAACCAAAGCACCCACACAAACATGCACAGAGAATAATTTGCCTTTGCAAAGCCTTGGGAGTCGTTAGTGAGTGAATAGACATTTTTGTACACAATGCAAATACCTTTCCCTTCTCAACATGCCCCCCCCACCCAAGGTCAGCAGTGCCACTGATGTCACATCACCCGTGACATGACTACACTTCACATGTTTACAAAATACCCACATCCACCACCTGAAAAGTGTTGCCATAGCAGCCAGATTCCACACATGAACAGCCTTCAGTCAGTAAGCTCACATACTTGGAAGGAGTCTAAGGCGACCTAACCTCCAACCAAATTGTTCCACTCAAATGTATGCGCTTGATAAATGTTAATCAATAATAACATTTCTTCATGGCTTATCTAAAATATACAGATGCAGAACAAAATCCATGGTAAGAATATAAAATGTTAATAATGACTGATAAATTATGTCACAAGCTTTGACGACAGTTTTTGCCTTTATATTTATGTAGGAAAAAGAACATGCTGGCAAGCAGAAAAGATTAATGCAGCTTCATTACATTTACATTTGTTAGTACAGCGGTCGCAGTATAGAAACATCATCAACCCTGCCCATTCGCTCAAGGTTCATTTTCCAGAATAGTACCTGCTGTGTTAACACACCTGCTCATCCTGGCTTCACTTTACACTCGAGGGCTGGCAGGAAAAGGTAGGGGTAGTTGCTGGTAACAGTCTGGATAAAATTGGGGTAAAAAAAACACTGGGTGTTTGAGTTCACACATGCAGCTCACCTCTAAATTGCATTCAAGAGTGCAGTGCATGTGGGGCTCAAGATTGACATAACTATGATGATGCCATGCAAATGATTTTATGGGAGGAGTGGTGGTGGGTAGGCACAGGCTGCAGCTCAGTGAATGGCTATTCCTCCTCCTCATTGCACACTCTGACAAAGGACCTCATTATCAACTGTTATTGTTTGACAGATGCCTACCGTGCACGATTCTAGGGGCACAGGAGTTACCACAGTTTTGATCTGCCTCCACCTATTCGTTCCTTAAGATCAACAGTTGCCTGTGTTGAGTAGAACAAGTTCATAACCAGCCTTTTGGACCTCTTAGTTACATGGTGTATAAGACAGGCTGATAGGCTGACTTAGAGCCTGTCTTCCTTGCCAACTTCCTTGAATACATGCTGCATCAAAGAACCAATCTGACTGTCAATGACTGAAGTGCACAAGAGCAATATTTACCACTTGAGTTGCCCACAGGCACATGCATACTTCTCCTTCATCCCCAAGGGAAAGCATATGGTAGGGCATCTGGATTCTGCTAAGAAGGCCATCAAGCAGCTGAAACCTTCTCTTAGGTCCCAACCTTCTTATCCAGCAGTGAGCAAAGGCTGACTGGCCTTTAGCATCATCATAAACATCAATTAGCATCATCTCCGTCATCGTTATCATTATCACATTGGCTGCTTCAGACAGAAAGCACTTGCTCTGCCACCTCACAACAGGAGTAGAAGTCCCCTTGACACTGAATATCAGAAACATAAAATGCATTGGTTTTCAATTATAACTTAAGAGCTCTCTACAGCAGTTAGTAAGAAAAAAGCTCAGTTATGTGTTTATGTTGTCACAGTGTTGTCACAAAGCTGAGATGGTGATATATCTATTTGGCTTCAAATCAGTTGCCCATCGACTTCTGAATTTGTGGCAATTGCACACATGGTGCATCCAGCTGTGATGTGAACTGCTAATGCTTGATCGAGTGTGCTGTCATTGCCAAGAGTTCACTTTCCTGCACAGATAACAGTAAATTACACATCTAGACCTGCAACCAGGCAGCGTTGGGCGACTGATGGTCAGTGTTAGAGAAGGTTGTTTCTCAATTGGAAGGTTGGCGGTTAAATCCCATCTATTGCGGTTCATGTTGAGGAAGTCCTTGGGCAAGTCACAGGATCCTAAACTGAATGTGTGATTAGTTAATACTGATATACACTTTAAATACCATTCTCTGTCATCAGTGTATGAGTGGGGGAATGTGACATGTCAAAGTTTTTTGGGTGGTCAGGAGACTAGAAAAGCACTATGTCTAATACAGCCCATTTACCATTTATCTCCATTTACATACAGCTTTTCACTGAAGCACAGTATATATTGCAATTGACAGAAAACTTTAAAAAGGATGGAACTTTGACAACTTCCTGTAATACATGTATATTTGACATGTTGTCAGTACTTAAGTAAAAGTGGAGCTGAGCTGAGGAAGTTGTGCACATTTGTGAGGCATACACCATCTTATTCAGAGGGCCGTACATCAGGTTGTCTCTGGTATTGTACACTTACAGTACTAGGGTTAAGAATAGAAAGATGACTACACAAAGTAAAGAACAACCACACAGATCTGATCAAATACAGGTAATAGACCCATAGAATAAGAGCACAAATAAGTTCTGAGTTGACGGCAAAAAAACACCGGCTAGCAAACACACTAGCCAATTCCTCTTAACAGAGGATCAGTGAGAAAGATCAGACACTCTATTTCTTGTTCTATCTGAGTATGTTTGTGTAAGTGTTTGTCAGTGATGGATTTTGCACGTAGAGGGAATGACAGATCGTTCCATTTTTAGCCTACTGTATCCACTTTGCCCAGGAATAGCTAAAGGATATAGTCAAAAATAAAAGCCATTATAAGAAAGACTGGCAATAAAAGATGGTATGCCAGTGCCCCACTGAGAAAGTGTTGCTTGTACAGGAATACATGATTCATTAAAAAATAATTAGCCTTTACTTTAGCAACAATGCTAATCAATCAATCAATTTTTATTTGTATAGCATTAACTCATAACAAGTGTTATCTCAAGACACTTTACAAAAAAGCAGGTAAAAGACCTTACTTATTACTATATTACAAAGACCCAGCCTATCCATCATGAGCACTTTAGCAAAGCAGCAAAAGTTACAGTGGTTAGAATTTTTTTTATCAGACACAATAATAAATAAATTAAAAAATAAAATAGACGTGTGAACGTCCGCACATCGGAGAACAACACAGAGAACATGACAGCTACTTTGTGGCTTATATTGTGTCATTTTAGTCAGATACAGCCATGAAACTCTGGATTTCTCCATAATGAAGGCTGTCAGCTTTGTTTACCCGCGTGCTTGTGCTCGTGCATGAAGTGTACCGTGCTGAAGCACACCTCTCCGAAGTGTGCCAAAGTGTACCGTGCCTGCGCACGATACGGAGCAGTCACACTGGCCAAACGAACTAGACTTTAGCGTTGAAGCGTGCTTGGGCACGGTAAGGATGGCCAGTGAGACCGCGCCCTAAGAGAGCTCAAGAGCTCCCAGGAAAGTAGGTGGTTAGTGACTAAAATTTACAGATAGATACATGCAGTAGTATGATGTACTGTATAAGCACAGGAGAGAGAGAGAGAGAGAGAGAGAGAGAGAGAGAGAGCGAGAGAGAGAGAGAGAGCGAGAGAGCGAGAGGAGCTCAAGGTGCCAGTTCCCCCGGTAGTCTAGGCCTATAGCAGCATAACTAGGAGCTGGTCTACACCAGCGCCAGCCCTAACTATAAGATTTATCAAAAAGGAAAGTTTTAAGTCTATTCTTAAAAATACCTCCCGGACCCCAGCTGGAAGATGATTCCAGAGGAGAGGAGCCTGATAACTGAAGGCTTTACCTCCCATAGTACTTTTAGAGACTGTAGGTACCACTAGCAGGCCTGCATTCTGGGACCGTAATGTTCTCGAAGGTTAGTACGGTACTAGTAGCTCCTTAAGATAAGATGGTGCCTGGCCATTTAGAGCTTTGTAAGTGAGAAGAAGGATCTTGAATTCTATTCTAGATTTGATAGGGAGCCAGTGCTGAGAAGCCAACACAGGAGTAATGTGGTCCCTTTTCCTAATTCTAGTCAGTACACGAGCTGCAGTGTTCTGGACTAGTTGAAGAGTCTTTAGAGACTTACCAGAGCACCCTGACAAAAGAGAATTACAATAATCCAACCTGGAGGTAAAAAATGCATGAACTAGTTTTTCTGCATCATTTTGCGACAGGATGTACCTGATCTTAGATATATTACGAAGGTGAAAATAGGCTGTTCTTGAAATTTGCCTGATGTGAGAGGTAAAGGATCAAATAGAACTCCTAGATTCCTAACAGTGGTGCTAGATGCCAGGCTGATGTCATTAAGGACAGTCATATCATTAGAAAAAGTCTCTCTAAGGTTTTTAGGGCCTAGCACAATAACTTCAGTCTTGTCTGAGTTAAGTAGCAAAACATTTCTGGTCATCTAGGTCCTAACGTCCTTAAAGCACGTTTCTAGCTTACATAACTGACTGGTGCCATCGGGCTTCATTGATACGTAAAGCTGAGTATCATCTGCATAACAATGAAACTGTATGGAGTGTTTCCTCATAATATTTCCCAGAGGAAGCATATATAATGTAAAGAGAATCGGTCCAAGCACGGAACCTTGTGGCACTCCATAGCTAACTTTGGTGTGCATCGAGGACTTATGATTAACATGTACAAACTGAGATCGATCTGATAAGTAGGATTCAAACCAACTTAAAGCAGACCCTGTAATTCCAATTAAATGTTCTAGTCTGTGTAATAGGATTTAATGGAATTAAATGTATGTCTCCATTCAATTGCAGGCAAGAAGAACTCCATTCTAATGCACAAAGTTCAACATGACCTGAACTCAGGTGTCTTCAACAACCGTGAGAATGAGATGATCCAAGAGATAGTAAAATATGATCGGGAGATGGTTCAACAAGTTGATGTACCAAGACAACGGGCCATGTCCATGACTCCTTCAGATTCCTCCATCCAGCCACCAAATTCCGCAATTGCCACTTTGCAGCAGGCTGTGGCCATGAACTTTTGTCCACCCATGCAAGGGAACTCGGTAGGATCAGGTAGCTTGCAGTCTCCTAGGATGGTTCGGAGATTTCAGGTATTGGAAAGTGTATCCAGCCCTGTCTCAGCCTCTCCTTTGCAGTCTCAGCTCTTTGCTTCCGGTGCCTTTGCTCCAATCCTGTCCACCCCTCCTTTTCAGAGTCCACTGGCAGTTGGAGGACGATCATTCCAGTATGGAGCTAGTGCCATGACTGGTCCAACCTCAGGCTCCCAGCTTTCTCTAGTGCAGCAGCACATTGCCAGCCCTGCACACCGGCCCAGTTCACATAAGAGTACCCATTCCTTACAAATGGACAGTCTGAGCCAAGATGCTAGGGCACTGTCTGCCTCTCAACCCTCACTGCCTCATGAGGGGGCACAACTAGGTGCCCTTAGTCCACCCCAATCCACACGAGTATCCTCCACTTCCATTGGACCCACTCAGACCCCATCAGCTCACACTGGCATCCGCAGCGCTATACCACATAGGGTGGTACTGCCTCACCAGATGTCCTTCCCTGTAGCGTCTCTGCCTGGTTCTATGCAGGGTTTTGGGGCTGGTGCAGGACTGGCAGTAGGGGGCTTGGGAACAGGTCTTGGGGACTCGGGGCTACCCAAGAAAGATTCTGTAGTGAGCCTTCCTGAGACAGAACATGTCAAAGTTAGATCCAGGCTATCTTCAAACTTGTGATCTTAATAAAATTATTTTGGAGAAGTGACTCAATCAGGGGCTTGACTGCTGGAGTGGTGATTTATGTTATTTATCTTACAGTTTTTCTTCTCTGTACCCACTCCAGTTTGACTATCCGAATGTATGAATGTTGAGTGAGTGGCAGCAAGGAGTATCTAAAGGGAGACTGTTATTACATTATTAAGTCTGTATGTTGACTTTTGAATCTGCAGCTTTGAGATAATTCTACTTACAAAGTAATTGCACAAATCAGTAGTGATAGAGTAGCATCTTCCTTACTCTGACCCCTTTATGTAGTTTATTTCACAACATAGTCAACAACATGTTGGTACATATGCTTCATTAACCAATCATTCTCCTCATTTTATGAAAACCTTGGGTCAGATGGGACTAAAAGAAAATCAGGGACCTACTTTAGATACCAGAAGTTGATACGTGAATGCAGTTACATTTTGCTGTGGGAGTTAATAGTCTCAAAAAGGCGTGGTCATTTTGGTTGTCTAGATTATGTGTTTTTTTTCTTTTGCTGTTTAAGTGTTTCTATCGACCAAATGTGTAAGCACAAAATGTAGTTATATTATCTAAAATAAGATATTAAATAATTAAAGAAAAAATTGTTTCACTTTGTTCCCTCAAAATTCTAAGCCATATTTCCCACTAGACTTTATAAACTATAAATCAAAATGGTATTTTTAGAATCTAGTCTTCCTGTCTTTAATACCCCCAAAAGATAAATACTTCAGCCCACTTGAAATTAAAGCTGTGGGACAAATTGTCTGGTTCCAGCCAGGCATCGATGTCTTCAGGAGAGGCCTTCATTTTAAGTCAAAGCTACAGTAAATTAAACAATTTTTTAAATTTCTTAAAAGTGGTTCAAATAACTGAGGATGCTTTGTGATCTCAGAGAATGATCACTTTAATTGTTATTTTTATGTAGGTCTAAGCAAAAGCTCACCGTAATCCCCAGAACAAAAAGGCAAATTGCCAGACTAACATAGATAGGTAGGTACTTTATTAATCCTTTGCAGGAAATTATATTGTCACGGCAGCAACTGCAATCACAGTCAAGACACACAGAAAACTAACAAATAACAAAAAAATATATATATAACATAGAACTATATTCATTTCACAAGATCAGAGACAATTAAAACTGACTTAAGACACTTCCTATCAACAGCATAACTGCTAAAGCAATTGTTTTACAGACTTTATGTTTATTCACTGCCCAAACATTACAAAGAACTTTATTTGACTCAAAATCTGAATCCATTAAAACCCTCATATTCAAATTATAAATCCATTCTTTGTGTTTCACTATGCTGGTCAGTAGATAATGAGATTACTGTCAAGTTCAACCCCAACTGTAAATGCTACAGTTTGATCAGAAGCCAAGGACAGTGAAGAGACTTTGCAGGATGTGTATTGCAGTGTGCCTCTGTCATTAAATCTTCTATAAGAATTCATCGAATGCCAATAATTTGTGTCCAAAGCATTAAGAAGGGAACCTCTTCTCCCAGACCTGACATTCTCTCGCCTCATCGCATTGAAGCCTGAACCATTACTGGGTAATGAGAGTGGAAATTGGAATCCCTATGGCCTGTTTAAGACTTCTATTATCGTCCTCTGATTTGATTTTATTATACAGTGCCAGTGATGAGTTCATTCTCTATGATAATTCTGTATTTGTTTTGTTTCAGTTCCTGCTTTGCTATCCACCTTAACATTTCAAAATGGGATAAAGTTGAAGGTTTTTGCACAGTATTTTTACCCAGTTATTAGTGTTTGGTCTATTGTGTTCTGTTTTATCACCAAATTATGTTGTGTGGAACCTTTTTAGATGGCTAAACAGTGTTAAATACACATTTTGTGTAAGACAGGAGCTGAAATTAAAGTGACATAATAAGATTAGAGATGTGTTTTTTCTCCTTCAATTAAAAGCTCACAGCAGACGAAAACAAATGGAAGGAGAAAGGAGCATGAGGTTGGATGGATTGCATCACTGCCAATATACATTATAGATAACAAGCAGAAATACAAAAAATCCCTGATTAACTCCACAATTTTTATTAAAACTGAAGAAAAAACAGGTATAAAGGCCTAACCTTTTTTGGTATACAAATATTTGCTATGTTAATGACATGACGACATGTCACAGACTTTATAATTAATGCTTACTAAATGTAAAAATCAGAGAATTCTTCACTGCACTGCGTCAGTCATGGTGTGTCAAGGGAGGTACATCAGACAAAGCAATAAATGTATCAAAAGGAGAGTGGTCACTCTATGCAGATGATCTGTCGTTTTCTTGACAAGATGCAATATTCCACCTTTTTGATAGATTTCCCAAGCTGAGAATTTGTTTAAAAGTCTGTTTTCTGGAAGATTTTCAGATTTTAAAATACATTATTTAATGACAATAACTTGACTGACATGACTGACATATCTAAGTATGAAAGTAGTAAACCAGACCAGACTTTTGTTTTTTATTTGGCATAGTTTACTGTTGTAAAAAACATACTGAATAAGAAAATGTTTGACAACTGGATGTCTTTTTAATCTGTGACTAAATGCACGCTATCATCTGGTATGAACTAATAATTCTTGAGCATAAACAATAACTACAGCAGAACACAGATTAGCATAACAAAGGTTTGAACTTCTTTTCCAACAGTTGCTCACAGTACCACCCGCTGTTTGTATATAAACCTGTGCTAGTGGCTGTGAGGTCTGCATGGTTCCTTTTATTGTGTATTTTCTTTTGTTACATCCCAGTCTATTTTTCAAATCCTGGTGCTTTAACCAATGCTGCTTCTAGACCCCTCCCCACTTACCTTCATCTAATTAGCATGTAGCCCAGGACTCTGTAAATGCCTTCTACCCTCTTTTTGCAACTTTACAAACATATTAAGTGTTATGTAATTGTTACAACAACTCAGCTGTTCAGCTTTCTCCAGTACACCCTCCAGGCTTTAGGAAAACATCTGTGCCACACAAATGCAGCAGCTGCAATATTTACACAAGCATATGTTTTTTTCAAGTTGTGTGCTTTCAAAATGTTTTTTTTTTCCTTTTCAATCATTTGCAGTCCAACGGTTTGTCGAAACAATTTCCATCCCGATTTTTCTGAGGATAAAACATGAAGATGAACAGTGTTTCAATGTTTACATTCAAGGGCTGTTTTTGGAGAGAGCATTGATGTCTCTGTCACACAAGTACATTCATGCCAGTGAGTTCAGTTAATTTCTCTCTTCCTTACCAGTAATGACCACACTAACACTGACATATATAACGCCGATTTTATTTTAAAACATTATTTCAGAATATACAATCATGTTGTTCCTTTGCAATTGTCTTTTTTTTTCTTTACCTAATCCTTTCCTGTTTTGTTTTCTCAGTCCAATACCCTCTAATGTGTGTAATGATGAGTACAAAGACCAAGACCAAAACGTATCTGTAACTAAGTACTACAGGAAAATATAAGGTTACACTTCAGTGCAAGTATGTCTGCATCAGGGACCTGATTTTCTTTTAATGAAGTGGTCTTCAGTTGTCACATCCCATAACATGTACTGTGCATACCTAGTGCCTAGCATATACTGTAGTCTCCACATACATGTACTACGTATATTGTTTATGTGTGTAGCTGTACAAAAAATGCAAGCTCCTCACAATGAAAACATCACTGTTAGTTATATCCCACTGCAATACATGGAAAAAGGAGAACAAATAAACTGTATTTGAATACAATACGATTCCACCGCTTTATGTTGAAGTCACTCACTTTGGACTCGAGTTTAAATGAAGCACCAACAGGTTACTGGTCAATCATTTTGCTTTTTATTTATAGAAGTATAACCTCTTAATGCAATAAAGGCATGTGATGGTACATTGTCAGTTTGTTTTTCTCTCTGTTATGATGTTATTGGTCATGTTGTAGACCTTTTCTAAATAGCCCTTAGATAAGGAGAAACAAACCCACCGCTGCCGAGCTGCTGATAAGAAATGCTCGTGTTTACAAAGAAACCAACAGGCTCGGTCGGAAATTCCCAGAACCAATAAAATCCACTTGTAGAGCTACCGGAAATAGTAAGCTAATTAAGTAGTGCTTATACAGAATGACACACTTCTAAAGGCCACAAGAAACAAAGAGGGAACTTCTCACTCATCTCTGATGTTGTTGTTCACTTACCATGTGGCATAATGGGGGATCAGCGATAACAACCAAGTCTGCAGTACCGTACATGAAACTTTGCTTTTTTTATTATCATTCCACCAATCACCAAAACACACACTCAATATTAAGCTGTTTGGAACAAGGACATTTGAGAACAGGTTGCCTACTTGCAGTAATGTCACCAGGTCAATTGAATGGGCCCTTGGTTGTAGAAGAAACATTAAAAACCAAATATCTAACATGACAGTAAATGGCAGTGACATTTCTAAAATTTTCTTACATTTGTTGGTATCTTTAAACAGTAAAAAGACATTTCCAAATAGAAATAACATTTCATTTTATAAAAGCTGCAATTTAGAAATTAATCCACATTTAATCAAAACTCTATTATTCCCCTTTACTAATGATTCTTGATGAGGCATTTCAGGAGAGTCTTTTCCTCTTTGGTGCTGGTCTGGCAACCAGTTTTCCCTGCACAGTTGGGAGAGCTGGTCAAAAAAGGGGGAACTGAAAAGACTTCACACATATATTCTGTGAGTATGCCTTTCAAAGAATCCAATACAGATGATTAAAAAAGCCTTAGTAGATCCAACACTTGCAGCTTGTAATTTAGAGGCTATTTAAATAAGATCTCTTTAAGAAACATGCTGGCAATGAATTTGAATATGTTGTATTACATTTAACATGTAACAGAAGTGTTGAACGTTTTTAACTACCTGTGCTGCTTCCTGTTGACATAAAGCTCTGGGCCTTTTTGCTCTCTCCATGACTGTCTGCACACTGCTCCCCTGCTCATGCTGCTGAGTGCTGGACTCTCATGACACCAAAGGGCAGCAGATAGACCAGGAGGGCCCAGAAGCCTGGCAAGGAAATCAAAGTGCTCTCAGTGAGAGTGAGTGGTCCACCAGCTATCAAAAAGTGGTTTCCAGCTCTGGCATGCCTCGCCGATAGTGACCAACACTTCCATAGAGTCCAGAGAATCTAGATAAAGGCTACTCAACTTTTAGTGTAACTAAAGTGTGAAACTGGCTACATACCATATTAGAGAATGTTATGTGAGATATTCATCTATTTTCTCTTGAAAGGAGCATTTGCTTACCACTTGTTCAATTATAATTTTACAACAACTAATTCTCTCTTTTCTGATTTATGGTCGACTGTAGCCTATCGCTTTGGATTTGAGAAAAGGATTAAGCCTCAACTAACACCCAACTCAACACTCAATAGGTTCTATGACAATTTAAGGTGCTCATACTGGCTATTTAAAAAAAAAAAAACATTCAACTGCATCTCACAGACTTTTAAAGGAAGCAAACTTTATCCACTGAAGAAAGTGAGATTAATTTGAATCATAGTAGACTCCGACTCTGACAAATTTGAAACAGTCAAAAACTTTTGCAAGGCCTAACCAAAAAGAAAAGAGGAAGAACAAGAGTCTTATGCACAAAAGTGTGTACTTCTCTCAGGAGCACATTCAGCTCTGTAACAGTGTTTCATCAATCATATAGATAATTTAATGAAGTATTTTCTGTACCAAAGCTTACAGTTAAGAAGATCTTCTGTGTACTGTTATGGTAAATGGATTTCAGCTTGTATAGCGCTTATCCAGTCTTCTGACTATTCAAATCGATTTTCTCTCTCTCTCTCTCTCTCCCCTGATTTATGGCTCTCTCCACTGTCCTATCTCTAAAATAAAGGCATAAAAAACCCAGTGCTCATATTTGCTCTTGATTTGTGAATGCAATACTAAATGGAAGCTCTCTTACATTAGCTAGTGCTTTATTATTACAAAGGTATCTCCCCCTGCTGACAGTCAACATTCAACGTTAAAAATCATCTGCTTGAACTAAACATTTGTAGCAGAAGACTTACAACAGCAGTGGACTATCAACATCTGAGGCCTTCAATTGTAGGCCTCAGGAGGACACTGAGGCTGGATGTAAACAACAAACTGCTCCTGTGTGACTCTTTCCTGTTATTGGTCAATTGATTTATTTTTGTATTCCATCCAAACACAATTTGAGAGATTTAAATGTCTATGCTTTTGTTTTGAATTGAAACTAATTTCTTCTAAAGATACCTAATATTATGTACATACTCATTTACTTTAATTGTAAGGCCATTTTGGAAATAGTTTTTTATGGGCTTTAAGACCTCTCAATCAATAAGCACAACAATGGTGGCAAGCATTGCATAATTCTTAATATAAAATGACTCAAGTACAACTACCAACTAATGTGTTTTATAGAAGTCATACAGTGTCTAATCACTTAGTCCGGCACAAAACAGACAGTTCAAATCTGACTGTTCACAGGGGTAAAATGCATTAATGAGTGAATGTTTTGTCATGCAAGGTTGCATTGTCTTATCTCATGGCACGGCCCACAGGTTGTTTTATCAAATGTAAAGGTTTTTTTTTTACCTCCTACAGATTGCTCCCCTTTGCACTTAACATTTCCCTCACAGAATCATCATCATCAAGGCATGTTCATCTCTGGAGAGGCCCCATAATGGATTCTATCTGACTATTTCATCTAGAAAAAATCCTGTTCTATTGCTGCAAGCTCTCCGATCTGCTGTAGCAGCAGACATCTTTGGAATCACCTCAGAAAAACTGAGACAGGCCCATCAAGGACATCAGTAGCCAGTATGCTCCCTCAGCCAGAGAAAATTATACTTACTATCTGTAAAAAAAAACACATCACCTCAGCAAAGAGATGGAACGTGGGCTTACCCTGCTACATATTCTTCCATTTTTTTTGAGTGTTGTAGATGCAACATCTGAAACCTTTTCATGGCCGAATCCCTGTTGAGACACCTAAACCCTTAACATCCACCAATCAACTAATGGCTACTCTTTTGTGTTGATCTCAGGTCATTAAGTGCAGAATGTGTTTTTCTCTGCCTGTCTGAATGATGTCACTCATTTGTTTCTGAAGAGGCATAATTAAGCTCAAAGATGGCAGTTGCCGTTTGGAAAAGCAGACTCAAACTTACCTCTGGCTTATCGAGACGCAGGCAAAGGGGGGGGGGGGGGGGTTGTGGGGAGAATGGATATCTTGGTTGCTGAGACATGCCCACCTAGTTCATCTAGCTAGCATATTTCAAATGAAGAAAACTACACAAAAGAAGCAGACAGTTCAAGGAATCAAATTAAGTATAGAGAGCAAAATGTTTTTTTTGTACCCAGCTGTTAACATGTTTATTTCTGCTGTTGGAATATTTGACTTACTGGGGATTCCATGGTTTTGTAGCCAGCCATACTGCAAGTGGACACTGGAGGAAATGCAGTTCTTCGCACATCCACACTGGCTTCATTTTTTGAACACAGGAGGTTACCGCTTGGCCACATCTTGAACTGTCATGGCAGGGAACGCTAGCCAGGCTATGTCTTAGGTACAGTACCTTACAAGCTGCAATAATATAATTTGCACGGTCTGTGTAACATGATGATTTTAATCACTGCAACAAATTAACCGATTGAAGTCGCAGGTCATGTCTCATTCAGATCAGAATATAAATATCATCTTCGAGTGCATGGTTCCATGCAAATCATTTGAAAGCCAAAAGTGTAATCAGCACCCTATTTATGCCCCGTAGAAGATCATTTCCATTTCATCAGATTGCCTCTCAGCCAGCTTTGTTTGGCTGAGTCTACATTTGCCTTTGAACATCAACAGCAACCTTTTGTCTGAATCTGCTGTAACGTTTCCAGCTATGATAAGATAACACTTCTGCTATTTTTAATCCTAGATGCAGCACTGGCCCAGAAAAAAAAAAAAAAAAACTAGATCTGAGGTGATTAGTGAAGTGTTCAAACCCTTTGTTGAAAAAAGGAGGCCTTCGTCTCTTGATACACAATACGGCTGAAAATATGAATACGATTAAATACCAGGCTGCTTCATTCATTCTATTGAAAGAAAGTAAGAGCACGAGCTATTTCTGTGAACCGCTGAAGAAATAAGGAGACAAGTTAAGAAACATATTTATTTTAGGAAAGCTGCCAAGTGCTTAGTCACTCCAAGAAGCTAAAAATCAAGAGTATACAGCAGCACACAATGAATGTAAAGAGCTCCATGGCTATTTGCTCCTTGTTTCTCCTTACAGGAGAGTCCTGTATTTCATGTTACAGTGAAGTCCACTTTCATTTCTTTTCATAGTTCACAACGGGTTACCTCCGTTTAGTAATGTGATTGATACTTAGGTGGGGCAGCTACAAAGGCAAATGAGAACTCCAAGGAGGTCCTCACAGCATAAAAATATGCCCACACACACACACACACACACACACACACAACACAAACTAACACATCAGTTGCTCACATTTACAGTTTTCAGTTGAGACGTTTTTGCTCAGTATTACTGAACAGCAGAACAGCTGCTAAGTATGAAAGACAGAAACAGTTTCATACATGATTCAGTCAGTATTGTTCATGTGTACACACTCACACATGCACCTGAATATAGCATAAAGTATCCTTTATAAAAGATGTATTTTCACTGATTGGGTACTCAATATTCCCCCCATGGGGTTTACTCCTCCATCTATTGCACCCCTCCTCCCCCTCCCCCACCCGCTTTCTTCCTCCAATCAGCCCACTAGTCAGTTAATCAGGCAGGTTCACTGTGTGTTAATGCGTCCAGCAGCTCCAGCCAGCCTGTGGACCAGGAGACAGGCAGGGCGCGGCTGGATCAATGTACTGATGTCTGAAGGAGACAAAGCCATTTGAAACCCCAGGACTTTGGCTTCCCTGCTGCAGTCTGTCAATTCCACTCATCTCCCTCCACTGGTTTCCCCTCACAAGCTTCTCAGCTGAAGAAATAAGTGGATTCTTTCACCTGCTGGAGATCAAAATCACCTAGAAAGAAGAGACGCAAAGTGTCCGTTAAGTCTTTCAGGTTACATGAATTACATCAGATGTAGTGCAGCTTGAATCATAGACAAACATACAACCATGAATTAACTTAGAATATGGCAAAAAAACAAAAACCTCTAAAGCATGACATACGAACATAAAATGTAGATGACGGTGCAAACCAACTTCAGCTGTAACCCTTTTTTAATATAACTCCAGTACCTTGCTCTAGCTTTAACCAAATGTTGCCAAGCTAGTTCATAGAGTACCCTTTATGTAGGATATGAGGTCACATATACAGTACTTTTTAACATACAAGTAATAAGTGGATGTTTAGTCAATCAAGATTGTGAATCAATTTCCCTTGCTTTGGTGCAAATGAAAGAGACAAAAGGTGCAATGTAGAGACCAAAACAATACAACCCCTGAAAAGGGAATTGTTTAGCAAGTTACTCATTGTGTGTAATCCATTCTCACCTGCTGGATTACACCCATTTAAACCCAATTCCCCTTCTTAAGGGTCCTCCCTAGTGAAGATTATAATGGATTTGGCTTCAGATCCATTTGGTCTCATACTGAAACTGGACACGGTTGACATTTGGGGACACTTACAGATATACACACGCGCACACACGCACCTCAGGAACACACCTGACTGGTCTCAGCCACATAAGCTGATTATTCAGGGGAGGGACACAATTAACAGTAATCAATTTACACAGCACAGCTGTCAGTGCTAAGCAGACAGTGGGTGTACAGATGGAGATAGAGAGAGAGGTTACATAACAGTAAAGCCTCCGTCCACCTGTCTGACAGATGACTTTTATGAACCTTCACTTTGGACAACAATACACACTGAAAGAAAATATAAATAAAAGAAGCTGGAAATTGAATTTTGGCCCGATTTAGAGGATGTTTCTGTTTGATTCAGCAGTAAGAACACTATGTCCGTGCAAGAAAGACAGCTTGACAACCAACTGAGAACAATGGGATACCTTTAGAAACAATACACAACAACAATTAGGACTGACAAAATGGATCGAAATACAGCTTTGTGCATTCCTATTACTCCAACTAACCTAAGCAGAGCCTCGGGACATTAAAGTCCTCAACCCAATTAGTATGTTGGCCCCCTCACACAGTACCTAAGCCTTGGTGATGTCGGGGTTTTGTGGCCAGACCTTTGCATTCATACTGACCTGTCTGTGGAACTTTGGCCAGCAGCAAAATCAGCCTCCTGTACTCTTGGTACTTCTTCTTCTTGGCCTCAATCCTGTCACAAATTAGGGAACGAACACAAGTTGTAAAACTCCACAAAGAAATTTTTTTGTTCATAGGTATCAAAGTCAATTGTCTCTCTCTGCAGTTTCTAGAAACTCATTCAAAAGCCAAATATTCTGCTGACTTGTGATGCCACTTATACAAAATTCTGCAGGTTGCTCCCGCCTAGATGTCATATTTAAGTTGTTAGGGTAACATGTTAGTTCTTATTCAGATCAATGTTATAATGTTATAGATAATACAACAAGTACATGTATGTGATGTAAATATCTGAGCCTTTACCGTATCTATAAAGTTGTCAACCTAATTATCCATACTGTAAATTAACAACATTTGGCTTTTCTGCACACAAATCTTTAGCATGTTTTCCAAAATGTATTATTACTCCCTTAATGGTTGAGTATAAACATATATTCAGCTTCACGTTGCAACAAGTGAAGGAATCGAAAAACTCCCCAAAGTATTTCTGTCCATTGCCTCAAATAGGGAACAATATGTTTGAAAGGCTAAGGGAACAGAAATGTGTTTGTGAAAAAAGTACGAGGGCTGTTGTGGAGTAAAGGCTGTAGAGAAGGTGTCCAATTATTGCAGAGAGAGAAAAACAGAGTGAGATGATGAGCATAACCCTGCCGCAGGGCAGTAAGACCGATACTGTGAGATAATAGGACAGAGACAGAGAGGGGGAATCATTCTGTATCTAATGTTACAGTCGAGTGAAGGAGCACACACACTAATATAACTTTTACATTCATGGACGTGTGTCTTCCTTCTGTTTGTACTATAATGTAATATATGTACATGTGAGAGCTGCATGTTCAGTGTATGCTCACTTTTGTCTATACCATAAAAGACCATAAAGATAATGTGAAGTGAACACAAAAACACAGAGACAGAGGGGGGGGGGGGAGGGAGAGAAAGAGACAGAGAGATACACAGAGAGAGAGAGAGAGAGAGAGAGAGAGAGAGAGAGAGAGAGAGAGAGAGAGGCAGACAGAGAAAGAGAGAGAGAGAGAGAGGCAGACAGAGAAACAGAGAGAGAGAGAGAGAGAGAGAAAGAGAGAGAAAGAGAGAGAGAGAGGCAGACAGAGACACAGAGAGAGAGAGAGAGAGAGAAGCAGACAGAGAAACAGAGAGAGAGAGAGAGACAGAGAGAGAGAGAGAAAGAGAGAGAAAGAGAGAGAGAGAGAGACAGAGAGACTTATGGCCATAATGGTTGTTGTGTAACATCAATTTTAAAGTACAAGCAATAAAAGTACAGATTGCAGTTTGGGGTAACTAAATGTGAAATAATTACCTTTTCTATTTCACTAATTGTAGCTATCATGCAGCTGTACTTATTTATACACAAAAAAATAAATTCTATGAAAAGAAGGACAGCTATACCACTGATTCCCCTGAGAGAAACTGAGTTTGCAAATGTCAGCGTGTACATTTTGATTATTATTTTTTTAATATCCTTCATTAATCCCTGAGAGAAATTCAAACTTTAAACATGTTCCCGCGTGCAGGTGTGAACACTCACGAGAGCCCACTGCAGTATTTCTGTAGCAGGAAGGTGGACAGCTCTTGAAGGATTGGCTGGCTGTGCAGGCTGACAAACTGTTCCCGACAGATCTGACAAAGAAGAGGCAGAGAAGAAAAAGCACAATTTGAGTTCTTGCCCAAATAGTAGACCCATCAGCTCCTTAGACTGTCCTGCTGGTTGACTGGGTAGAAAATAAAACGCATTGAAAATGAGAGCGAAAAAAAAAAAAAAGAGAACATAACATTGCTATAACACGAGCCATCCTGATGTTATTGGAAAATAGAAGGCTATTGTCTTTAAAGAAAACAGGTTGAATGTAGAAAGGAGGGATTAGAGTACATTTTATTTTCATGGCTGTTGAGGGACGACAGTTTAATACCTGGTCATTTTTATTTACTTGGGGGGGGGGGGCTTCTGAGGACATGAGGTCAGAACACATGTTGCTACAATATCATCATGACAGCAAACAGGGAAGGTTTTTATTCTCAGAATTTAAAACCAATTGAAAGTTTTGACTTTTGAGGTGTCAGTGTTGTGTAAAACACAAACCATCCTCACCCAACTCATGCCTCAAAGTTTTACAACATCTCAGACATTCTGGTTGTTGTTGGTTTTTTAATCTGCACGCATCTCACCATAACAAGGATCAGAACCTGTCTTTCTGGAAGCCTGGCCTTGGTGTACACTCGTACTAATCCAAGGCAGGCTGGGATAGCCTCCTGTCTACTGTAACTCTTAAAAAAAAAAAAAAAAAAGGTTCATTACTAACATGGTGAAGCTGTTTGCTACGTGGACAAGGACAAAAGCTCGACGCAACGGCAGAGGTCTGAACACACTGCACAGCTACATGTTGCTTATTTGCTTCAGTTGTGCTATTTGGCTCAGTCTGAGTCACTTTGTTTCCAATTAAACCGAGCCAGGGCGGTGTGCAAACAATGTGTGTTTCAGCACACACAGAATGAACAGTCAGCAGATTATAGACGTATTTACTGCCTTTGACAAAAATGGTTTAAATTTGAATCATAGGCTCTGGATTCTAAAATAAGGACTATCTCCCACATATTTGTTGACTATAGGATATTAAAGAGCTCCCCTCTGCTGCTGTGTTCAGCTGCCTGTGTAATGAGGAAGGTGTACACAAACACATCAGGAGTATATGAGAGGAAATAAATGTAGCGAGAGGTAAGTACTCCTCTGAGATTTGTTGAAGACATAAAACAATGACTTTGTGTTACAGCTCCGTCTACAGAAAATTGGGACTTTATGGGCATTTTATTAGTTTTATTTTAAGCTGTGTCACAGTCTGGGTCTGGAGAAGCCAGTTTCAGAAGGCAGGAGCAGGCAGAAATTAATTCAGCATAACAGGCTGCTGGATTGTGCCTCCTGCAGCCAGCAGCCTAAACTTAAAGAAGTACTTAAAACAAGTTTTCATAACATTTACTTAAACAAGCTAATTTCACAGTGCTTTCAAAACTACCATTAAGGGAAAATTTACTTACAATAAACCTGTGTATGTGTTTTAGAAAACGAGAGCCAGTAGAATCATGAATCGTATGTACCCTGCTTCTAAACAATTAGACAACTCTGAAAGAACAATGCGGATGAGAAATGGTGAGATAATCTGGATATGTGGGGACAAAAATAATGTACTGTAAATGAATACCTTGTTCATGGTGTCCACAGTGAGGGCGTGGGTCCAGAAACAGTCATGAACGGAGACGAATGTAAGGCCAGCACTGAGAGGAAAGAGAGAGAGAGAGAGAGAGAGAGAGAGGAGAGTCAATGAGCACGGACTGAATCAGAGAAAGATTTTTTTTTAAATTGCCAAAGAATATCTTCATAAAGATGTTATACAGCGATAGTGATCCCTCACACAGCGGTTCATTCATTCAAAGTCAGTGTGAGAGCCATAATGAACTATCACACATGTCAGGAGGCTGTAGTATAATACATAACATACTCTGCTTAGCTGAGGTGTTAATTGCATTCAAGACGGCAGGACATATTCCTAAACCGATATGAGGTCATGTATAAATAATTACATACTGCTTTAAGAGAAGTCATTCTGTATAGGACGCTGAAGATAAAAGGAATGGATCTGTCTTTATTTGGAGGTGTATGATATGATCAATGATACCTGTAGCAGTGGAGAGCAGTCAGCATCATGTGCGTGGAGTCCAGAGAGTGGATGAAGTTTGGCGGGAAGGCGTTCTTCTGTTTAACTGTGTCTGGCCTCCTGGGAAGGGACAGAGGGCCATGCAAATACAGGTCAAAATGACAGTTCTGTAAGGTGACCTGTGTTTACAGTTTACCTGATTTCTAACCCAAAATGGGATTTTTGAGCCAAGTTATCACTTCAGCCCGAAGTGGCCTCATTATGAACCGTGATGATAAATCCCTGGGAGAGAGTGAGAATCAGAAATATTGTTTTGATTCCCTTTTTAGTTTGTGAAATGTTGTGTATTTCATTGAAAAAAAAAAAAAAACATCCTGGATGATGTTTTTAGGTCTGATAATGATGCAGTTAACTTTTTGCCAAGCCTGACTGACCAGCAGCATTAACAAACAGAGGAGTGGGACTTACTGAACGACAATAATGTGTACAGATTTCCTCATTCATTTTTATTGAATTCTATGAGACAATCATGGGACACTGTGGCTCTGTAGTTTCTTCAAAATGTCAATATGTGAGCATATAAAATATAGGGAGAGATGGAGAACAGAAACAGTGTAAGGAAGTATCAATGCAGTGCTTCTGCTACTGGTGATGGAAAAAATATTCTGCCAATCTGTCTCTATCCCCATGTTCCCATTACCCTGCGCCTGAGCCATTCAAATCCTCTGGGCTGCAACAGACAGAATGCTCTTCTAATGGAAATGCAGGCGGAGAAGAGAGAGCTTGGCCCAAGCTAAAACATACACGGGGAACACACACACAAACTGGCACACACAAACACACTGTCATAGGCACACAACGCTTGGCTTGGAAATGTTACACTTTTTATCACGTCGCTTTTAGTTTTGCATTTTTGGGCTTGAGCAGAAAAAACAAACAATATTCTTGGAAGTGTATTTGTAAAAACAGTCTACAATCCAAGCTCAGAACAAGATGTTCTTCTTTTTTCATTTCAATTTATTTCACACCTACACTAAAAAAACAATAAACAAATACGACACCTTGAAATCCCAGAGGCCTGACTGGCTGATAGGTGCACAGTCAGTACTCTGGGATAGCAACCATAAATCTCTGAAGTGTTAGTGTCCTCCTTATAGAGCTGACAGTTCTTTTCATACCACAAGACAGTTTGAAAGTTGGCAAAAGGCTTAGCCTTATAGTTTTGTTTTTGGATAGTTATTTCTCACAGAGAAATAAAGAAAAAAACAACGACTTGCCAGTTCTCCGTCTGTGACTATATTTACATATTTAGAGACTTCACATGTTTTTTCAGGATCTTTTCTCACAGCATGTGCTTTTGTGCATGATCACGCTTGTGTGTGTCTCTGCAGGGGGAAATGATGAGGAAAATCAGCCTGAGTGATTGTGTCAAGTGTAGCTCAGAATGTCAGCTGGTGAAACACAGATGCACTTTTTGACAGGGCAGTTTTATGTTTTAAGGAAGATGGTATTTAAGTGGCATCCGGCCCTCTCTTTCCTCCATCTCTAACTTTCTTCATCCCTCCCACTGCTTTAGCTGCTTCTCAGTATTCAAACTGCTGGATGTGTGTTGTACTGTAAATGTCAGACTGAGGAGGATGGCTGTCAGTCTCTGTCATCTCTCTGTCTGCAGTGCACTCACTCTGCCTGGCTGTCTCTCACTCTGTCTCTTTCTGTCCTCTTCTCACTTTCATCACCATTCCTATTTTAAAACTCAATCCAGACTTTTCTTTCTCACCTCCCCAAAATAGCAGTCATACAAACTTCCCAGACTAGCACTTATTCAGAGAAAACACATCGCTCTCTGCTTCATCCCTAAAGGTCAGGCGTACTCAGGCTGAAGCAGACTGCCAATCAACAGAGCAAAAAGAGGCCCATCTACTGTAATATATTGATACTTTTCAAATTTATTCACAAGTAAAATATCCTCGGTTAAACCAGTTTACAATAAAATAGTATTCTTCTCTGGCGTGAATCTCACTTTGTCATGGAACATCTTAGTGAACAAGCTATTCATGGAGATGATAGTACACTAGTTTAGTAAGTGTTTTTATTGTTCTAACTCACTGTTTTTTCTTTTTATCATGTTGATTCAGTCATTCACACATTCTTCTATGAAAACATTTGAAAAATATTTTTTGATAATTTCTGATCTGTTATTTTGCCGTACTTCTTATTCTTTGTTTTGTCTTCTATGTTACTAATGTGAACTATTTCTTGTTTAAACCTACTTCCTTTGTCAAATTGGGCATACTTTGGCAGTTATATGATTTGCTGGTGATTATTTTCTGCCAGAGCTTCTGAACAAAAGAGGTTAAATTCCCTTCTTTTGTTTTTTTGCTCATTTCTGTTAGCGAAGCCTCCCCAATCAGACACTAGAAGTCCAAAACTTCGCTTTCAAAATGTTAAAACACTTCTGATGGCACATGCAGAGTTACGGCCAAGTTTGAGTGGGCAATTAGTGAAATATCCACTGAAGACAGCGCTTTAGTGGAGCTGAAGGTTGTTTGAATGTAAACTAATTGCCTCTAGAGGCTTCTACTTCTTTCCACCTCTAAAAGCTAAACAGAGTCTGAAAGGACATTCTAAAAAACCTTTGACAACAAACTCTCTAAATTTCAGGACAAGAAAATGGCCTGCTGTAAACAGAATTTCTCTCATCCAATATCTTCTACTTTGTGTCATGTCACTAACATGATAATTCAATTCTAAGGATAGTGAGCACAATGGAAGATGAAAGTAGAATCAAATAATATGGGTAATTTAGAAACAGATGTGAGCTACATAATTACTTACTCTTTGGTGTCATGGCTGATCTGGAGGTTGATATGTTGCATGGTACTTTTCAGCTGAAGAGGGAAAAACACAGACAAAACAAGAGAGGGTTAACTATCCTGAATACAGCATGCTGATAAGGTCCTAGACAAAGAGAATAATGCTAAAATGTCTGTTACTTAAAATGCAGTAAAAAGAAAAAGTGCATTCAGATTCTACTGAAGATCAAAATGTTTCTAAAAGAACAACTATTTCATATTGAAGGCCAAAACACATGAAATCACAAGACACCTGAACATTTAGTAATGTAGCTTTTTAAACATTGTACATACTGTACATTTGGGTAAATTGTTCCAAGCATGATACAGATCCATTAAAGTTAAAGAACCAAGAAACACAGCATATTTGTATATTTGAACTCCAATAGTTACTCATTAATGACTATACAGATGAAAGTACATCAGAGGTTTGAAAAACAGAGTCCTTCAAGGCTTACTGTCGCTTTTTGTTTTGGCCAAAGTCTAAAAATAGCAACATATTCAAAATACACATCCACCAATGCAGAGCCAATCCCACTGGAGGAGCTTAAATCAAAGATCTTTTGACATATGTACCCGAAAATAGCTGAAATTATTCAACAGTTTTCAAAATAAAGTTTTATTTGGAGTTTGGGGTCTTCAATCTCCTTCAGGGGTTTAAAATACTAAGAGGTTTATCATCAAATTAGCTATTTCAAATTGGACACAACATGGCTACATCTACAATGAATAAACACTTTTATGGATATTTCCAAAGAACTGGTTAAATTTAATTGTGCACATTTATAGAAATGCTTGTTCAAGAGGATCTTGGCCATGAATCATGATTTCAATAATCTGCATTGTGTGGCAGGTATCTGGCAAAGTGCTAATCCAGAAGAACTGTGATTTGGTTTAGCGTAAACTTTCTGCCAACAGCTGGTGATGTGTTCATTCATGACCTTACACCACAAAAAAGAAAGAGATGAAAAACAGAGGCAGTCAGGAAAATAAAGAAAGTTTAAGAAACATCGAAGCACTGAGTGTCACAAAAAGACATCTTACTATAAGTAGGTAGTAATCAATCACAGTGATTCATGACTCTATTAGACTTCATTAACTGAAGAAAAGTTAGAAGGAGTTAGACACAAATGAACGCAGTATATAACTTCATCCATTACACTTTCTCTACTTGTTCTTCTTAGATATCTACTTCAAAAAGTAACTGTTATAGGAAGTTATCAGTATGACCCTAATGGCCAACATTCAGTGGATTAATTAAGAACAGCAGGCAATTAGCCAGTTTATGCACACCGATCCTTTTGATCTCAGCTGTTCGCTTTACTCCATCATGGTTTTTTTATTTTACACACTGTCCAAGAGTAGCACCCCAAAGCCTTTAGTTCATGGGAGGGATGACTTAGCGCTCTAATCTCCTGAGACCTTGAGGGTCCCCCCAGTCTGCCTTGCCAAGGAAGGCATGTGAGGGAGGGCAGTCTTTCCCTGACCCCTGGAACCATGCCTGGTTGGCAACAGCAGGCTACTATCAGGGAAGAGAAATGAAAGGCAGAAAGCGGCCAAATGTTCATGGATGTGAGCACTTTGGATCCGTCTGTTTGCCTTGCATTTAGCCTGCATTAATGTATCTGTGAATACATAAAAAAAAAAAAACCCTTTGATCCATCAGCACTCAGAATAGCAGAAGCACTTTTAAAGTCATTAGACATCATTATTGTTAGTTTCTGTTTTGAAGAAAATGTACCCTAAGTTGTATGGATGCATGGAAAATGGGTTTGAGTTTGTTTGTTCCCAATTATTAATGGGCTCACATGAGGACATGTTGGACACAGAACTGTTGTGCCATCACAATGAAATCATAATCAGAGTGCTACAAACACTGAGTAATAGAAGTGCTTGTATTGTAAAATCATTAGACATCATGCTTTGAAAAATACCCCCGCCCCCCAGTAATATAACTAGAAAATGTGATGGGGTTTGTTTTTAGGTGAGCTCTCACAGGACATGTTAAACTCAGTTATTTGTTTGTTTTTCTGGTCAACACATGGAATTATATCACAAACAGCCAAACTAAAGAAATACATACATCAGTTGCTAGTTGGCTTCATAGTGCTACATTGGATTGACTTTGAATTTACTTATGTTTGCAGTTGAATGGGTCTTGAAATCAAAATTCTTCTTTGTCAATAATACAAATGACGCCACCAAACCAGAGCACATGTTACCACAGCATGATCACTGCTACCCTGAGAGGAGCCTTAAAAAGTTCATGTTTGGTACCAATTTATTGCAATGTCTTGTGGGCTCCATTGGGAAGCGGTTTCTACACCTTCCAAGATAAATGCCTGGTGCTTGATTTATGTGAAGTCAGTGTCAACAAGAATGCTGAGCTGGACATCTAGAACTCCATTTGTAATGACATCTTTTTTTAAATGGATCGGTGCACTCAGAACATCTGTTTAGAATATGACATCAGAGGACTTGTAATTGAATGTAAGGGTAACAACTGTGAATGAATGTCTATATATTCTTGAAAATCACTGTGGGTGCTGTCAGGTGTTGTAAAATATGTTCCATTATTTAGTTGCTACAGAGCTGCGACAGGATGTCTCTCTGTTTGATCCTCTTACAATCTGTCTAATTTATTAATCAAATAAACAGAAGTACCTCTAAGGGGGAAATACATTTTTAACTATTGTCTTGGCAATTTTCCTCCAGTTGTACAAGACATTTTCAGTTGGACCCAACACAGTGAAACCACAAAGCGACGCTACACCAAACAGGTTTAATTGATAGTAATGTATACAGTTGTGAATGGCTATCTCCATACAGTATCCCTGTAAAATCTCTATAGGTGCTGTCAGGTATTCTGATATTTTGTTCATAATTTAGTGGCTACGGAGCAGCTCTAAGGTGTCTCTCTTTTTGTTGTTAACACCATCTGTCTTCTTGCTGTTAAGACATTTTTAAATTTAACAATAAGACAGACTCTACATACCAAAGCAATACTTCTAAAATGATCACAAGATTGTGTCCTCTGTATCATTTTGATTGTGTTAAAAAACAAGACGAAAAGATCCATGGATCCATGAATGCTTTTTGGACCATATTGAAGTATAATAATCTATCCCTTATGGAGACATTTTTTTATTTGTTTATTATTATTATTGGCTGCACACATAAAAAGCCAGGCTATCCAGGGATCAAAGGGACACATGTACAGTGAAGCCAATTTCATGGAGATGGCAAGCTACTCTGTTTGGTGATTCCAGGGAAAAGCTTTAAGGTTGCTCTATGATGAATGACAGAATCACACAATTATCAAGGAATGGCTTTAAAAATAGAAGTGTGATGGTAAAACCCCATTAGTCTCTGCCATGGCTGCTATCTCATCCATCATTGCTGGAGGAGGACTTGTGCAGGGGAATCTGTCCATCATTCCTATCTTTACATCACCTCTTTGTCTCCTAATGTATAGGCTAGAGGGAGGGGAAGGGGAGGCTGTGATGTAGAGAGGGGTGAGGTGAAGACATGGAAGTTATGTCTGGTTTGAGTAATGGATGGCCACACTATGAAAGAGGTCGCACCACTGTGCACTGTAGTCCTGTTCTTTATAATGCATAAGAGTATGATTTGTGTACATGACCTGACTCAAACCATGAGGCTGTGATGAATGAGACCTTGGTGAACCCTGCTGTGCCTTTTGGGAAGAGGCTTCCTGAGAGTTTCAGCACAAATAGTCATGGATGCAACAGCTCTCTGTAACCATATACTGTATATAAATTATATATATATAATCATAGTGCAATAGGGGAATCCCCATTCATCACATTGTCCTTGATAGCACGTCTCATCCCAGTTGTTGGGGTTACACCTCACACACCCCTTTCCTCTAATGTTCTAAGTCACTTGGTGATCTACCTCGACTTTTTCCTCTGAAGGCAGATGGGGACAGCTGCAGACTCACAGTCACAAACACCCCGAGTCTCACTATGCTTCAACTGACCTTTTTCAGACTTACTTTATCACCAAACTTTCTTTTTCTACCACTTGGGGCTGTCCCCGAAACGCAAACTACATTTATTCATTCATCCCCAAAATGCCATAAGATTCTGCAAGATCCAGGAAAACACCATCCTACCCTCGGGACCGTCTCACTTCTATTCCGAGGCAAAAGGCGCTATGGAGGGCATAACTCTGACATTTAGAGATACATAGTTTCTCAAAATGAGAAGAGAAGACTCCTTCTGGTTGTTAATGCCCCTTGAACTTCTCCAAGCTGTAATCCTGCAGCTTTACAGTGGATAAAGACAGACAAATGGTGCTATCAAATAACAAAGTAGCAACATGAGATCGGGGACAGAAACACACCTCTTTGAAATTGAAGATACAAAAATATGCAAACCAGGATTATATGGATTATAATTATTTTCCCTTCTTGTTTTCTATAAAATGTATTATTCAAATATTTATTTCCCTGCCCTGCCCCAAAATACCCTTGAGTTTTGAAAAGTACCACCCCCTAGCAGTTTTTTTTTTAAATATTATTTACCCCAGAACTAAATTTAGACCCTGGTAGATTTTTTTTTAAGATTTATTTTGGGCTTTTCGTGCCTTTAATGCAGAAAGAGGACAGTGGACAGAGTCGGAAACCAGGGAGAGAGAGCGGGGAATGACATGCGGAAAGGGGCCACGGGTGGAAGCAAACCCGGGCCTACCGCTCGAGACGAGAGTTTCAATACATGGGACGCGCACCCTAACCATTGCGCCACCAGCGCGCCCCCCTGGTAGATTTCTTTCAGGTTCTTTAAAAAGACCGCAGTTCTGGGGGAAAGTGCCTCTGGTCAAAACTGGGCTAGAGAGAAAATGGCCACAATAAGGTGCATAATGAAATGTTATAATGTTACATGTTTAAAGGATTTTTTTTTTAACAATTACGGAAAATCATAATTCATCCATGATTAGTAGAACATGTTTAAAGTATTCAATCAGAGGCCAAAAACTTGTTACATCAAACTTTGTATTACTGTTGGCAGTGAATTATTTTGTGTTGGAATAATGCCATGCCACTGGACTGTACTTCACGTTTGGTACTGTACATAATGAATTAATGCACCATGTTTATCTGCTAAGGGAAATTTCAACCAAAAACCAAGGCCAAACTGATTTTTTCCTCAGAGAGGACATCAGATCATAAGCTTTCAGTCACACTACAAATTCACAAATCCAGATGACTCCCCCTGTGTCAGCAGCCGCTGAGAGCGGATGAGAGGTGAAAGTGGAATGGAAAATAAACAAGGTATCCGAGTGACCTCTGATCTGATTAGTATCTCCAAATCCTGAAAAGTCACCTCTCTGATGTTTGTATGTTCCATTCAGCTACTCCATCCTTTTTAATTCCCCTATCTCCCAGCAATGAAAAATACTTAAATACACCATGGGACATTTATACTCATCACCATGTGCCCACTGAAATGAAGGAAGAAGCATTAACACAAATTCTTACATAACCTGGACAAGCAAATTACTTATATATATATTATTAGATATTATGATGGTAATGTAGCTACTCTGCCTTCTCCCTTATTGGTTTTCCTACTGCACTTCATCTCCCTGTTCTATCTAGAGTCTAATTACTAATGACCCCCAGAAACAGTGTGGCCTTGGATTTAAGAGGCGGAGAGGAGACGAGGAGATTGAATTTAATCCAGCTATGCAGGGAAAAGGTGACCTTTCTGCAAGTTAGTTTCATTTTTTTAATACACAATGATGCAACTGGATTAGAGAATTATAGCAGGGGATGAAGAAAGTTATCTGTGAAATGTAAGCTAATACCTCATTCATCCATGAGGTCGTCACTACATCCATTAATTTATTTATTAATCTCCAGGCCTTGAAAAATCATAGAAAAAAAGAGCAGAGATGCACCCTCAGGGGACCAACCATCTGTCACTATCGCCCTCTTGCTCCCACTTGTGAGGTGTTGCTGCCCCTCTAAGCCAACCCTCTGCTTGATGTCATCCTAAAAGAGCATCATGCAGCACCAGCCTATGAGCAATGTCAGCATGTGGCGTGTGCTTTACGCATGTAAGAAGTCTGCAAGTAGTTCATGTGCTTAAGGATATTAGAGGTTAAAATGTATTTCTTTAAAATTACATACATATAGACATAAACAGGACCTTCCTTTTCATGTAAACACACATACACACACACACACGTTATCTACAAATGTGCTGGCACACAGACATGTTATCTGTAAGACGTACTGCTGTCAGGATCTCCATAGTGACAGACAATTAGAATGACTTGGAAAGCACAGCTGGGAAATTCCACTTACAAAGCCTGCAGTACTTCAGCAGCTTCATGATAGGTTGGGTGTAAGACTGCTCCATGATGGCAAAAAAATCATAATCATGATTATTTTGATTGACATTGAGATCACTATTATTTAATCAAATTATGTTTTCATTTCACAACAACACTGTGTTTTGTGTATATATGTTCTTTGGTGGGAATTTTCTGTTTGGACAGTAACAGTGCTGTGAAAAAGAATTACATGAGGATAATATAGTCTAAAGTCTAACACACAACACTCTTAATACTTGGCACTCTGAGGCAAAAATTATGGCCAAAACGAACGCAACACGGCGTGAGGCCCGTTTAATCTCTATCATCTTGTTTTCATGATGGAAGGAAGCTGAAATTGAATTGAAATTGAAACCTAATTAATTGCCCCGCTCTCGTTGTCTTGCATGAATTAAACAAATATTTTAGAGATTTAAAATGTTTTTTGGGGGAAAAGCATTCAGGGGTGGGGTGGTTGTAGAAACACAAAGCCTACGGCCAGACTATTCTGTATCTCAGAAAATCACTTACCGTGTATTATCTTAATGTTGAAAAAAACCCACAGCCATTTAAAGGATTGAAGTATCTCAATTTGAAAACTTGAAGAACAGAAATACAGGACACTTATTTCATTTGACCTGATTTAAATGTGGCTAAATCAGCATTTCCTTCCTCTATTCCTGTATTCCTTTTTTTGTCTTGATAGGACTGCTGGACAGAAATGTCAAGTAGGAAAGTCGAGGGTTTAAATGTGCTTTTCTTTGTGTTTGTTTTCAGTTATTGTGTATTATCTCATCATGGAGTTTTGGCGTGTTTTTGATAGCTTTTGATAGTTACTGATTTGTAAAGTGCGTAGTGGTTTATATTGACATGAAAAGAAAATATAAAAAGGTTCACTCTTTGATGTATTGCTTTGGGGGAAAGAATGACCCAATTAGCATTTACATTTGTCCATCAAAGGGCCATAACGAGACCAGTCATCTGTTTTTCTCTAAGATAGACATCTGAAAATAAATTTGAAAACCTAAATCTGATTTAAAAAAAAGGCTAGCTCAGTTTTAGGCAGGTGTAAGAACTCACATCCTCTTCATGACATTATGGCAGGTCAGGGAAGTAGCTGCAGTGGATGGCTAATTTCTCTGCGCTGCAGGACTGAGAGGTTCAGGGGATCCTTTGTCCCCACAGCCATTAGGCTTTTTAACACACAGGCTAAGGGTAGCAGCTCATGACTGGAGCTGTGAGTGAAACATCACTGCCTGCCTTTTTCTTGTTTCTCTCCCTAACACCCTGGGGATTCGTACCATTATAAGAAGCATTTAGGAATATAAAAACTTCTAGTATTTTAATTTTCTGTAAATATCTATGCAGTTTTAAATTAATATTGTTATTTTGTTTTTTTCACTGTTCTATTTTTCTAACTTGTGAGCTATGGGACATTCCTGAATTTCCCCCAGGGGATGAATACAGTATCTTTCTATCTATCTATCTATCTATCTATCTATCTATCTTCAAGTGTGTGGTGAGTCATTCCAGTTATGTTCACATCTGAGAGCCAAGAGGAGCACTCATCAATAATCTAATGGTTAAAAAATGGCAAATCAAATCTATGTGCAGTGCCACTAATCCAATCACATGCCTGTGACGGCCTCGGCAGTGTCAACAAGTGAAGCAGAATTTGTGGGCTGCCTGTTTGACGACAACAGCTTGCTCTCAGTGGATTAAAAACACTTTAGTTTTTACAAGATTTCAAACTTTTGGTAATTTGAAAGCCATCATGAGAGCTGATATTGTTGTTGTTTTAACCGTTTTGTATTAAATATTCACCTAACTCACTCTTCTGTTCACTTACTATAAAATAAATTCCACCGTGATATAATGAGTTGAAATCACACGTTCAGTTATGATAATATTAAAAGTAATCAAAACAAAACACTCTAGCTCAAATCTATACAGTACATACAGCAATAGAGCATACACAGTGGGTTCCACTTAGCCAGTATGGCGTTTGAGATTAATGAGTTCTCTACATCCTTGTACTAATGTGAGTTAAAAATGTATCCAGTGTACACTATGAAAAGGTCAGTTGTGGGAGTATTGAAAATGCAGTGAAGGTTGAGACAAAGAGCAAAGAGGAGCGAGACAACCAGGTGAAGATACATGAGGAGAAGTTTAGAAAGGTCAGCCGCTGAATTTCTGAAATACAGAAAAATGAAGACAGACCGGGTATCGTTTGAGCTGTCAATCAATAGATGTATGAAATTATAGTCATCAAAAGTAGGTGGGGAGCTTTGCATTAGAATGGTAATGCCAGAAGTGGAGTTAAATACCAGTTGTACAAAAGTGGCCATAGAAATAACCCACACACTTATTTGCGAAATGATGTGTGAAATCACACTCCAGCTCTGCAGTGTATTGGCTGATCAAAACAATTAATCCTACACAACTCCGCTTTTAGGGGCTTGAAGAGAGCCACCAAACATGCCTGAGAATAGGACTTACCACTTGGTTGCGTGTGCGGTGGTAAGGTTGAATGACGGGTAAACCCAGGGGTGTCACCCACTCCACAGTGTGTCCAGACTTGGAGATGAGCCTGGCGCTTTCTGTCAGCCAATCCTGCAACACAATGATGCCAGCAGAGGGGAAGTGAGGGCACTGACTGGAGAGAAATGTTGACTCAGAAATATATGCTAAGCCCTTCAACAATCATATGGGTTACTTAGCCTGTGTTGTGTTTTCAATGTGTGTGTGTGTGCATGATAACATCAATCAAGCCTTCATCAGCAAATACGGATGGTCTAGTGAGGACATTTTCATGTTCTTCAGGGAGGAGGATTTAATAAGATCAGGATCTGATTATTAGGACACCATGGTGTATTTGGAACAAAAAAAAACTGAAAATAGGAACTTTTTCCCCCCAGTATTAATCTCTGACTTTATGTCTGCTGTTCTAGTTTGCGGTGCAGCAAAACAATTGTTGCAAACTTGCTGAGGTACAGGTGAGGAGTTGTTGCGTTCTCTAAAAATTGCAAGTGCAACAGTGATGTTTGCGTAAGTGTCTGGCACAGTTTATCTCCAAGAATAGAAGGCTTGTTAAAGTCCCACCAGAGCCTCCTCACGCATGCAGGCACACAGAGAGCTGTAGGAAAGATAAATATGTCCTGGCAACTCAAGGCAGCAGTCTGGCCCAAAGCTGCTCCATTCATCACCTCCCTCCGTCTTTTTTTTTTCTCCCCAGGTTCAACAAAATGAAGATAGAAAGAAAGGGAAGAATGCAGAGTGAAAGATTAACTAGCAAGATAGTTGGGGAGAGTGACTGATCAATCAATAGATTGATAGAAGGTAGGCAGAGGCAGAGTGAGAACATCAGTGTTGACTGAATAACTTGGACACATACAGAGAAAGTAGAGAGGTCAAGGATGACAGCGCCGCCGATTGATCAGCTTCCTCACTTTCAATCATACTTCAACTCCCTGCTGCACAATGTGAGAAGGTGTGACCTATTTAAAGGGCACCGGCACACACTCACATACAATCACGCACGCACAAGAGCATCAGGTCAGCCCCGAGGTCTGACGGGAAGGAGGGATTTTTCATCTCAGACTGGGTTGTCCCCACACTTTCCCCAAAGGACACACACAAGCAGTGGGAGGTGTTTCTATTTGCTCGCCAGACTCCACACTCTCTATGGAGATAATGTACAATCCCCTGTCAGCTGCACGGCCTAAATCTATAAATGGAGTCTCTGATGAATGGGTGCTGTTGCTGGGGTAATTGTGAAAATAAATAGTCATTAATAAAAAATAAAACATCTAAGGAGGTAGTAGTAGAAATGTAATAATCTGAAAAAAGAGTACACAAGACCCTGTTTACTGTTATTTAGAAATAGAGGACAAAAAAATATATCTATATATATATTTATATATGTATGTATAGTTATATGAAGAGAACATCAAAAGAGTTCGTAAAAAGTTGTGGTAATTTGTTAGAACACAAGAAAACAGAAAAGTCAGCAAGCACAATGGGCCTCATTCACGAACAGTGCGTACACACAAATATGTGCTGAAACTGTGCGTACGAACGTTTGAAGCACAAATCTGGGATTCATCAATATATTCTTACTTGAATTTGTTCTTACTCTGCGAATAAAAAATAGAACCTCCTCAGACCATGCATACGCACAAATGATTGACCAGCTTTCTCAGAAAATGTTAACATACACTCTTACACACTAAATGCATGACATGATAAAAATACATTCAGTAATGAATAAATAAATAAATATATATATATATGTAAATATAAATATATAAAAAAACAAATGTTGAAAAGACACGCATTAAAAACGTGAATTAACTAATGCATTGACTAAATGTATTAAATAACCATGAAATATTCGCCTTATCATCCTTTAATCTAAAATCTAATCGTAGACCACTCCCACCAATAGTGCCATGAAATATTGCATCTGTAACCAAAACCAGCTGATTAATCTGAGAATATTTAAGAGCATGCAGGGAACATACATGATTGTGATTTACATCTAAGAAAGTGTAGAGATCTAGCCTTGCTGAAACAACTAGCAGCCAGTGCCTTCAGAAGAGAGCGCATCAGACCGTCAAAACACGTTTGAAGAATGTGACGAATGACTGATCAGCTGATTCCGACTGCCAATGCGCGTACTTCTGCAACTATGTAATTCACTGCAACGGCATCTAAGCCCCCAGACACAGCAACCTTTTTTTACCTTATGGGGCCATCTCCTAAAAACTTCTAGCCTACGTGTCTCCACCTCTAAGCTCTCGTCCTAATACACCAATCGGATGTTCTAATATGGAGAGATGGGGGCGTGGTAGTATGCTGATTGCAGGTTGCGGGCACGCGCCTGTGGATTTAGGACTGTTGTTGATCTGTACGCAGCTGCTCTACCCAGATAATACAAACTTTAAAGAACAATGAGTGTGCTGCCTTTTCCTGTTACCTTGTAGTATTTTTTTCGGCCGTGCACCTTGATGTTTGAGTGTGCTGTTGTTGAACTGGTTACTTTAAAAACTGTAAATATTTGACTTTTTAAAGATCTAATGAACTCACCTGGATCTCTCTGGTCCCTGTAAACATCTCTTTCAAGCCACTGAACACCAAACGCACCAGGTAGTGAGATGCATCCCAAACAAACTCCTGAAAATACAAGACATGATTATGTTTGTGTGTATTCATCGCACTTATACAAACTTATCCTTTAGCCACAACATTTCTGAAAAAACAACAGAGATTTTTGCTAATCAATCTGATAAGATTTAAAATAGAATATAAACATAACTGATTGAACTCGCAGCACTGAATGAGAAGGGTGATTTCCTAAATTCATTAAGACGACATAATCTCATCCTTGCTGGGAGTTGTCTCATCCCCGATCTATCCCCCTGTAATCACTCACAATTACACTACCCCCTAATTCTCCGTTTAAACAATTAGGGACATTATGCAGAGGTCATTTAGCACAATCTTCTGGCAGTGAGACGGTGGATACAGTGAGAGCAGGATCATACCAAACCAATCTATACTGACAATGAGATTAAGTCCACCTATTGTAAGGAACTATGCAGCTATTCAGCAGATAATAAGCACTCGAGGGCTGTGAGATTAAAAGCTTTTATTCTTCTGCCATGGAGTCATTTGACAGAATGGGTGTGCTTATCAAACAACCATTAATGTCCAACTACCTCTAAGTGCAATGGTCTTAAACTAAAAATAGATCATAATGACTATGCACTGGATACCAAGTGCGTCTATTGTTGGAAGACCTCCTGATACAACCTAGCAATATCTCATTTCACTGCAGTGAGATAGTATATAAATAAACTTGACTAAAATAAAGTTTAAAAGCTTCTGATCTTGCTTGATGATGCTCACTATGAGGCAATAAGAGTCTTAATGTCAAGGTCAACATTTATAAATTCCCAATGGGTGTATCATCAATTGAAATGGTATGCATTCAGTCTCAGCAGTGTGATGAATGTCTCTATGCACATGCTGGAGACAGAAGAGCAAAATATACATGTAAGAAAAGAGACCTTGTACTTCATTAGGAGTCTGTCCATGATTAATGAGTGTAAGAATGTATAGCCTGAGAGGAAGGTGGAAGGGGAGCCCCATATAGAGGAGATCCTGTGCTGCAAGGCCACCCCCGTCATACCACATGGATAAAATATTTTAAATAAAACAGTATGCTGTGTGAGGGAAACCCCCATTCACCAGCAACCTCCACCGGCACTGTACCTTAGGGAACTCATCAATCTCCTTCAGCCTTTTCTCTATCTGGAGGCGTCCCCCATAGCGTGTGACCCCGTACACCACAGTCATCACGGTCTGTTTGACCACCTTCCTGCTGATGAAGCCCTCCAGGACCTGGGCGATCTTCAGACCTTGCTCTGCATCCCGCACTCGGAACTCCTCCACCTAAAAAAACATGGACATATATAAGATTTGTGTGTAATGTCCATGGAATACAAGCCATATAAAACATGCTCCATTAGCATTGGGACAAATATCGATTCCGCAATATATCGTCATCCTGACTCTTATGATACAGTTATCGAATCGCTGGTTCCAAATATCTGTATTTTCACAAAAGGAAAAATCTGCACTCTAAACAAATAATTGTTCTACTACTACAACTAATAATAATAATCTTATTGTCCAACAATAGGACTAATGCTGTTAGTTATTGTAAAGTTTTGTCATCCACAGTACAGACAACAAGTTTTATTAATCTATGTACTACCTGAGATGATCTACTGTATCCTGTAACAATACCTCTGCTGCTCTGAGGTAATATAAAACACAGAGAGAGAAAGCATCCTGCAGAGAATTGCACTCCATTTTCTGTCAGTCCTCACAACTCATTGATAACTCCACAATACACTTTTGGGAGTGGATTTCTTTCCCTGGCAGCACACAATGGTTTGAATTGAAATGTCAGCCTTTCACAATTAGCTTTAAATTGCTTAAAATATTCAGGTTCACAGCAGGCTGTGTCATTTGATAGATTGTATGCACACTTGCTCTTTATGCCTTTTGATATGGCAGGCAATTAACTCTCACCTTAATGTTAGACTTGAGAAACTAAGCCCTTTCAAATCCAGAACCTAAAGTAAGAAACTTGAAACAAATCATCAACACCTTGTCTGTCACTCTCTAAGGGATATACTGATTTATGAATATTAACAGCTGAGCAACTGCATCCACATTTCTGTTTTGTTGCGCAACTCAAAGTCCATGTAGTTCAAAGAAGGGACCAAAACACTGAAAACCAAAAAACACCCAGATGGTGCTGACCTGCTGTGCTACTCCGCTGTACACATCCTGGGGCACGGCACAGGGCATGAGGTTGACTGATGTGGCACCAATAACATCTCTGCCTAGAGCAGCATAGTGCTGGAGACCATTACAGGAGCCGTCCTAGAGGAGAGTCGGAGAGAAAGAGAGGAGAGATTAAAGCAGTGATTCGGAGGAGGAGAGAAGAGAAAACAGGAAGATTGAAGAGATCGGGACAGAATGAGAGAGGGCAACACAGAGGGAAGGGCCAAAGCTGGAACAGACAAAAACAGATGACTCTATGAATATGGTGAGACAATCACAGAAACTAAAGAGAAGAAAGGAACAAATATATTTGAGAGAAAGAGCAATATGAACAGAAATAACTACATAGAGGAGGAAAAGATTTGGAAAAGTCACAAAGTGCCGATCGTGCTCGACTTTCACACCATCTCAAAGAATCTTAAATTAACTGCATCAATCAAAGCAACATCTGGAGTGGATTTCCCTTCAGAAAAAATTAAGAATTAAATCTGTACTGTATGCAATTCACTTATGATAAATTCTTAACTTGTCGTACAGGATCAAATGTAATTGATTTTTTTTGCACTGGATTTTTTTCTGTCCTTTCATAACATCTGACAGGAGGTGCTTAGTACTTTTAACAATTACACAGAACTTTTTGTCAGTATATTTTTTTATTATTAATCTGAATATGCATAAAGCCGAGCGTCAGGGAAATTATTATTACTTTCATCACACCTGAATTAACGTTCCACAACATTTTTCATAAAAGCCACGGATCAGTCCGACACATGGGTGCACAGTTAGTGAGCTACATCATGTAGTAAATATAAAACCTATACTGACACTGTCCTGGAGGGTTTCTCCATTGCCTTGGTGTTCATGAAGGGAGTTAAATGCCAGCAATCAGTGAGGAATGGCCGTAGCTGTGGTCTGGTCTGTAAGATTACAGCTACAGGTTTATGGTAAATAACAGAAAATGGCCCCAGATGGCTGGTGAGGTCTTGCCTTGTTAACTTTGATGTGCCCTCTGAAATAGCTCCATAAACCTGACTGAATGGTAGACCTCATTTAAAGGAGGTTATTACCTGAAACTATAATTGGCCTAAATTGGTGACAGATGGATAAATTTCTAATATTAATAATTACACAGATGAGTAAATCTGTGCTAACGATCTTGTTTTTTTCCACACTATGAATAGATTTACCTTAAAATGTCGAGTTTCCAATATAAATTCCTAAAAATGCATTAGTATGAGATCTAACATTAGACTTTGTAGACTTAAACTCTGTGAAAAGAGATAAATCAATCTTGAAGTGTTTTTATGGCACCTGATGAACGGGAAAATGAGAGATGAACTGAGTTGGATCGGAGGATCTCGCAGCATTGGCTATCTCCATGCAGCAGGCCAGAGCCTGCCAAGGCTCATCTGCATTCATCCACCACTTCTTACCCTGAGAAACACAAACACAACATGTTATCCTGAATGTATAAGCACTGGGCTGAAAGCATTTTCAGTTTTTGTTTTGCCCGATATTGAAAAACCCTTTAGGTTTTGTAACTGCATAAACTCCCAGTTCCCTTAGAAAGGGCAATGCTCTGAAATACTGTTTTCAGAAATTGAAAATGGAGCCACTTTTTGTGTCTGCTCAATGTACTTATAAGCTGTGAACATAAAAGTTACACAGTTCTAAAAAAGGCTACATGGAACTATGAAAGTGTGGTTGAACAGAACTATCAATGAACAGGACAGGACAAGAGAAACTGACATTGAGAGGGTTGTCTGCAGAGTCCAGGATGTCCTCCATGATAGTGTTGGCATACTCCAGCCGCCCCTGCATTGAGCTCTTCTTCTTCAGTCCTGTTAGATTTACTAAGTGGATCTTTAGCCAGTCCAGACCCTTGGGACCAAGTTTCTTCCCCTCTGCAAACACAAGGACAGCTCGCGTGACATCACTTCCTAGATGATTGAAATATGGAGGACAGGGGTAGGTACGTCCCCTGAAGTCCATATTGTGAGGGAACCAGAAGAGCTCATCCTTCATGTGGTTGGCGATGGAGAGTTTATAGAGAGCATCCATGCGCAGGCTGTGCATCTCACTGCATTTCTTTTTGGCGTTAATCACCTGCCTCTTCATGTGGGCTTTCTCAGACGCCGTGTAAGAGGGATCGTGGGGGTTGAAGTGGGGGATTTTAGGGGCCTCTGACAGAGGAGGAGGGATGTCCAGCCTTTCACTACCTCGATCGTTGAAGATGGAGATTATTATATCCAACAAGGGTTTGTTGATCTTCCAGGCACAGTTGCCAAGCTGATTAAGAGAGTCAAAGACTGCATGTAGGTTCTGGCATTTCTCCAACAACAGCTCATGCTGTGTGGCCCCTTCCACTGTGCGCATCAGCTTGGTGGGTGTCAGCAGGTATGCTCCAAACCTGACAGAAGTCCAGGGCATGGGAGGGCACAGCATGGGCATCACATAGGAGTCAAAGGTTAACGTGGTCTCCATGGCGTCCTGCTGCATCTGAGTCAGGATGGGGTGAGGCTTGATGAAGCCAACCTGGAGGGTGCAATATCATAGGACATCTAATTAGAAGTGTAATAAGATAAAGATAAGGATATGGGTCTTTATTGTCATTGTTATAAAATCTAACAAAAGGCAGTTTATCAGCTCATAAGCAGTAGCAGCGCAGTAAAAAAAAAAAAGAACTCAGCCTTAAACTTCATTAGTAAAGGCAATATAATACAAAAAACTATTAGAATTATTACACAGTAAAAGTAGAAACCTGTTTATTGAATTCTTCATTGTGCGGATAAAAAGAGACTTTTTTACTCCCCAATGATTAATCTAGTGTGGCTTCTTTCAAAAGCCGCCATGACCGCTTGAAACGTCCTAATTCATTTCTGACATGATTGCATTTCTGGTTAATACATAGCAGTCAAGGGTTAACTACAACCTCTGTTCCGGCGATTACGGACCAAAATGAGCAGGCTAAACATTAGTTTCCTTTGATCTGATTTCTCCAATCTGTAGTAAACTGTAGTTCCATAAACCATCAACAAACAGCTTTTCCGTTCTTATACTATAAAACGTAATCTCTGAAATGTTGCTTTGATACTAGAGTTTTCACACTCAGACAAACTGCTGGAACATCTTTTGTTTTCTTATTTACATTGTGTCAGAGTTGGGAGTTAGTGATGATGTCTTGAAGGCCTCGACTTTGATAAAAGACAGATTGTGTAATGGGTTTTTAACTCATACTAAAAGCATATATGACCTGACAACAGTAATACAATTAAAACACCTCTGCATTGCTTGAATGAGTCAAAGCCTTCATGCTGTGCTGTAAAATCATTAAGATGCACCCCTGATGGGCTTTCCACAGAAGACAGACAACAGGGAGAGGGGGAATGAGAGCAACAGAAAGTAGACAGAGTAAGACTGATATAAAAAAGAAAAAAAAACACAAGGACAGAATTCTGCCAAAGCAAAGTCAATTGCCAAAGTGCATGAAGTACAAAAGTCTACAATTTCCTCCGCCTGTGTCTGCCTCTCTCACCCCTGACACGGTCGGCTCAGCCTCCTGCAGGGTACCACAGCAGTGATTCAGAGAGCCAATTAAAGGGACACTAAAAAAGGGATTAGTCTGGAACCTATTCATCATACTCCACTATTGCCTCTTCCAACTCACACAAGGGGGCAAACGTTTTTTATAATTCACACTCTTTGGAGCTTCAGACTGGATAGGCGGCTGCGTGAGCGTACCAGGTAATAGGCTTTAGAGTGACAGACAGTCTACTTGTCCAAAGTGAAGGTCAACTTTTTCAGGGTTTTTTCACTTTGCTTCTGCTTCACTAATAGTTATTTTCCTAATGTTGAACATGTTAAGTCTTTAACTACTTTATCTTTTTGTTAGAAGTCTAAGACTGAAGCAGAAGTTCCACTAAATATAAACTTTGGATTTGAATGATGAAGGGTATTCATTATGAACAGGATATTGTGTTTTGTTTGTTTAGAACATTTTCACAATGCGTCCCAGTGAATATGTTTCCATTTAAAATATGTTTAAAAAGACATCAGACAGAGAAAGAGAACTTTTTGAAGATTTTGGTTAATCTCATCTCATATATTCATATATAGTGACTTAAATGCAGTCATAGGTGGAGACGTTGGATTCGATAATCACCGTCAGCTAATCATCCCAAGTTTTATCCAATTCAGAGTTGCCTTCAACTTTCAGACTACTACGTCAGCACACAGGGGTCGTTCTGCTTTCAGAGTCAGAGCTGCACAGCCTTACTCCCAGTGCATGTGCAGCTTTCTTTTTTCTCCTTCTGTGAGGAATGTTTTAAACTTCTTCCTCTACTGTCTCTGACTCTTCTTGTTAACATCACACAGCCCATAGAGCACTGTATGACTTTTGTAAGAAAAATAAAAAGTGTTGACATTCAATCTTTACTTAAACCTGACTTCACCAAAGACATCTAAATGATCTAGAGGAAAAGCATCTAGAATCATGATCTTATCTCCCTTTCAATGTTAAATGAACTAATTATCAACACTATAACACAAAATTGAATTTTCTGACATGTTGATGTTTTAATCATACAGGTGAAAAATGGTTCCAAAGAGGTCTTTGACACTCTCATCCTATTTCATCCTCTTATCAGTCAGATTTAAACCTTGAAACCCAGGTTTGTGCAGACTGGGATGCTTTGAGATTCATTCAAGTCTAATCCTTGACCACGTTTCCACATAAAACACAGCAGAAAGGATATTTTTTGGTCTGGGTTAACACTCAAGAATCCTGTTACCAAGTTATAAATGCCAAGTCTAATTGGTGGTACCACTCTCACATACTCATTACAACTACAGAACAGCAGACGCCTTTTAAATCCCATAGAACAGACAGAGTGAGTTCTTTAAAGACTTGTGCATACCGTACCTGCCGTGTGCTGCGAAAGGTGTACATGTGGTAGAGAATAGGGATGAGCTTCCTGTCGTAAGCCGGGTTCAGGATGTCACTATTAATCTTCAGGTTCTTAACCATCAAATCCACCATGAAAGTGCCCAGCTCCAGAGTGACTATGTACGGCCAGGGGATCTCCCCGCCCTGCAGTGTCGGTCCAGAACTCTGCTCCATTTCCAGCACACACCACTGCTCCCTGGGAAGGATGGAGTAGGCCTACAGGGAGAGGAATGGAGTAGGGAAGGAGTGATCTTTTATTTATATCAGAAATTCTGTCATCAGTTATTACGATAAGCTACAGTGTTTGGAAGACATGTCAACATTTGGTAAAGATGAAACGATATCAGTTTCTAAATTCAGAACTATAGAGTTTGTTCCACAGGTCCCTGTCTCTGGTTGAGTCAAAAAATGTGTGAAGTACTGTAACGATTTCTAAATGCATTACAACTTCCTAAAAACAAGAGCCGAGAGCTTAGCAACTTTTGAGAACTTTCCATGACAACATACAGTAGTTGGATTAATGTTCAGTCTCATAACAACAAACACTAAAGGCAAAGTCACAGCTACCACTTTAACTACAAAGGCTGCATGTTAAATAGCTTGCATAATGCAGACACCTTAACTAACTTCTTATTTAACTAATGCAGTGTAATGAGCTCCTGCTCTAAAGCTGTCGTTTACTTCCTGAAATGTCCATAAATAAACATCTGAAATAAATTAAACTCTGTATTTTCCCAGGATGCAGCCTGATTAATAATAGTACAGTTTTAAGTTTACCTCTTTTTTTTTCCGTGACAGATTTCTGTTGTGTTATTGCATGTAACAGGAAATATAAGCGTCTTTTAATGAACATACAGAGAGGTGTCAGATTGATCTCTACCTTGCTATCATTGGCCAGCAGCTCTGTGTAAGCGTTGTAAATGTTGCCCAACTTCTCCACTGCCTGATTTTTATTCTTCTGCCGCACAGAGTACTTGGTGTGGACCCTGTTGCCAAGTTCTCTGGCTAAAATCTTCAGTGACTCACCGCTTGGAGGCATGTTGGCAACACTCTGGAGGAAGAACAAGACACAGCTCAAAGGGTCAAAAAAAAATAAAGAGGTCAATGACAACTCAAAACAAAAAGCCAATCTCTGGGGAGACCTGCTTTGGTTTAATAGTAAAGACAATCCTTCAGTCAGAGAGGGAAATCAAAGTGAGAATGGTCTCTTCATGGTTAAAATCACATCCTGTGTATTTGTCTGTGTTGGAAGCACAAGGTGTCTGATCAAAGCAAGCTCTCCTTTGCTGCCAAAGACAAAGCCTGATTCTTTTGCAGGTGTTGTCACTGTCAGCCACTTGATTAGATTTTGTGGTTTCCCAGATTGGTTGGGTCGTATTGCACAACAAGAGTGTCTTGAATACTAAGTAGCATAACAGTGACATCTCTAAATATGTGTTGTATAATGTAGTAACATCAAACTTGTGATCAAATCTATTTATTTTAGACAAAGGCAAGTTGTTTTTTGTTTTTTAAATCACTGACTTCCACATGTCATTGAGCCGTAGTTTGGGTAAGGTGGTTTGTATTACCTGTATCATGATGTCAACATACTCCCTGTCCTCCAGCAAACAGAGGTAGGGATAAAGGTTAAGCCTGTAGTTCTTGGTGTCAGTGTTAGACAGGATCATCTTGCTCTCCTTCAGGGCCTGGAGGAGGATCTTCTGCCACTGTGCCCGCTGATGCGCAAGCAGCTCCCTCTGAAAAGACAACACAACTGAAGGTACAGGAGGTAATCCATTTCCTGGCTGCGCCGGCCGGCCAGAGTGAATCTCTCAAAGGATGTTTGGAACGAAATATAATTATCCTGCAGTATCCATTGTTTATCATGTACTACATGGCCACAATGGAAAGTCGTTATAAGTTGTGAAGCAGTGACTAGATGAGGCCAGCTCTCACTTGACATAATATTTATTGTGCAACATGAGCCTGCATTCCATTTGATGGTTAGACTTGTTTGGTTCAGTTACCCTCAAGATGACGAGAAGAAAACAGACTTTCCTTCAGAGAGAAACACAACTGGGTCACAGAGTTATTAATCAGGGACTAAAACAGGAAGGAGGAACCTGTTTTTCCCATCTTGGCTCATCACAAAGGTTTGCAGATAGTATGCATTCTTTACATACTTAGTAGTCAGGGGGATTCTCTTCCTTTGCCATTCAAATTAGACAGCATTCATTACTTAAAATTCTTGGACTCTTCATTTATGGTTCATACATTGATTTGATGTATTTATCTAATCCTGCACCAACAACAAGCAATCGATCCTGCATCACTGGTTCTATATTAAGTGGTGTTTTTACAGATTATAATGACTAATGTGAAACAATTAAAGATGAACCATGAAAAGTGAGAATCAGTAGATGGGTATGAAGTTTTGTTCATGAAGATATTGAGGCTATACGTACGTTCCCCTCACCACTGTATGTTCAAATGTTCACTCTCTTCAACTGAAGAGTTTCACTGGGTGTGACTGAATAAGAGGCTAGTCTGGATGTGGATGGAAAGGTGACTCTGCATTCTCTCCAGAGGCCTCCATTACAATACATTATTATTCTGTCCTGTCTGTCTGTAAATGCTTCCTGACCACCAGGGACTCTCAGCCTGCTCTCTTCCCACGTAGCCCATCTGCAGAGGCAGATGAGCCAGGCTGGACTGTAAATGCCAGAGTTAGAAAGAAGGCACGGCACAGGAATAATAGATTCCCTCCTCCAACCTGTCAGGCCTTAATGCATATAATTTCAAAGTTTTTACATGAGAGGAAAAGTGAAACTGAACTCAACCTTAAACTGTTTAAAATGTCAAAGTATCATCAATAATCATGGACAGGGCACTGCCAAGATAATATCCATCTTCTACAGTCTGCAACACTGCTTCTTACAATGCATGCAGGCTGGATTTTAGCAGTTTAAAGAGACCCTATTATGGAACAAAGCAGGGAGATGATCTTTCACCTGACAATACTATACTATACTCACAAATGTCATATATTTCACCAGTAGTATTTTATACAATTATTGGTTCTGTTCATCTTTTTAGCTCAAAACCACCTGTTATTGACAACATAAAATGTAAAAAAAATACACAAATATAAATAAATAAATCATCTTTTTTTTTTACCATTTTGGCCATGTTTTCAGAGACAGGCTTAGACCCCTCCACGGAGTCGATGGTGATAGTGCAGGCCTGTTCAATGCTGAGCTGATGTTTGAAACGCTCCTGAAGCTCAGCATGAGTGAAGTTCAGTTTGGGGTAATAGTGGTCTTCCCTCTAAAACACATGCACAAGCACACCAATGAGAAAGAAACAGAAGGAGATAAACCATCAGGACATCATACTACTACTAAAATACATACATTAGAGGCATGTGCTTGTCCTGTGCTTAATCTAAAAAAAAAAAAAAAAAAAAAAGTAAAGATTGACTGACTTTAATCACTCCTCCTGACATAAACGTCAGGAGGAGGTGTATTGTATTTGATTGCTAGAAGTTGCAAGTGGAGAACCTGGCTTTAAGCTTTTACTGAAGTTTACTTCAGACAAGAGGTACAGAAAACCATTTAACAACAGTGAAAGGTGAATGGACTTCAGCTTGTGTAGCACTTTTCTAGCCTTTTGACTACTAAAAGCTTTTTACATTGAATGTCCCATTAAGCCTTTCCCATCACATTCACACACTCAGGCAGAGGCTGGTAAGTGTCCATTAGTATAAACTAATCCCATTTATACACATTTACATGATTTGGGGTTCAGTGTTTTGCCAAAGGACACTTGGACATCTGCAGTAGCTTGGGATCTTCTGGTTGAGAGATGACTGAATCTACCCCCCTACCTCTGAGCCACAACTGCCCGCAGTGATTGACAGAGTTTCAATCCATTATCTTTGGCTCAGTATCAATAGAAAGCAAGAAAAACTCTTACGTCTTAGTTGCATGGTTTTCAAGATTCAACTGATAGCAGATACCGTAAGTAGACCATCAATGTCTATGATTATTAAGGCCTGAGAAGTGTTGAATTGTTTGGTCAAACAAAGCCAATAAACATTTGAAATAGTCCGAACTAAAATGACTAGTAGGCCTAGAAATGTTTTTGCTAAAGTAATATATAGTGATGTATTGTAAATGCATTTTACGTCACAGACTTACTTAGGAGGACTTATTGCAGCTAAGCACAGTTACATGTTTTTGTGTCTTTTTTTTTTAAAGGAACACATATGGGCAATTGTACAAAAAACAAATCCTATAATAGAAAACCAAAATGTGTTTGATGACAAACTGAAACTAGATCAAACTGCATTTGGATGAGCATCAGCTTCATCAAAATTCCATCTAACCCCAACAAACATTATTCTAATTAGATTTGTGTCTGCAGCTAACATTGACTCAAAAACCTCCAGAGACTTTCCAGTCTGCTCCTCTGTTATCTCGTAGAGCAGTTATTTGGACAGCCTTTCAGTCATTTAATCAACCTACTAAAAAAGCCACGGTCAGATAACAGACCGGATAGTAAGTCAACTGTTCAAAATGCAATGAGTGGCAACAGTAGTACAGCAGTGCAACAATAATTGTCTTATTTTCACTTGTACAATATACAACCTGCTGTTTGCCACCACCCTACATACAGTAAAACAATAACCTAGAAGAGACCAGAAATATTCCACTCAGATGAACACTAAAGTGAGTATGGTGCAGTGATTGAGGTTGTGAATACTGCAATTCTACAAGAAGCTGAGAATGAATCTTGAGAGACCAGGAGGAGAGGTGAGAGGTGGAGAGGCAAAGAAAGCAGAGGGCCTATTAGAAAGTAGAGTTGGCTCCCTATAAATAGGCCAGTGTCGGTCTGGCTGTGAAGAGGTGACAATCAAATCTTTCGTAGTCCTGCTGGAGCCTCCTGACAGCTTACATAACCAATTTTTAATACAACGCCCATGAAGATTGGAAGTTATATTCCTTATTTAATTCATTTCCAAGTTTTTTTTTAATCAAATCAATTATACTTGGGTACAAAATTACAATAAAAACATTTGCTACCCAAAAATAGCAGTCAATCAATTGCACTTTTCTTCTTTAACAATAATGCCCTATAAACTTAAAATTAACTTGTGGTGTACCACAAGGTTTACTGCCAGGTCCAATTATATTCTCTTCAAATCATTAGATTGCAATTCTTATAGAATTATCATTTCATGTTATACTAGGCTGACGATATTTCAAAATATATACAAGTTAAGACCGTTGAAACTTGATATAAGTCAGCTATCAATACTTTGACATATCAATGGCAAATTAAAACATTTGCAATCAGTGTGCCTCACAAAGATGCATACCATAATACAATTGAAGATTTGTATTAATAAGTGTATTAGACTCTTGTATTTTTCAGTGAGAAAAAAACAGTTATGATACCTGTATGTAGTAGTCCTGAACCAATGGTGAGAAGCAGTCGCTCGTGGTGGGCTTGAGTTTGGGCTGATAGTCTGGCTGGACAATGTGAACTGCCTTCAGCACCATGTCTCTCTCATCTTGACGGAAAACACACTGGCTGAACAAATCGTCCACCGATAGACAATCCTCCTCCATCTGAATCAGGCACCTGGATATACATGGACACAAAAAGTAGGTGTACCAAATGTTTTAGAACCCATTTATCTATGGGGTCCTGGGGAAACATACCAGAAGGACTGACAAAGAAATTACTAAGGTTCTGAAATGTTTGGACTATTGGAGATTATTTGGGAAAATAACATGTTGTACAGTCACTGCCTAATGACTCTTATTGAGTTCTATATGTAGGAATTTCAAACAACATAATCAATCTGCAGTTTTACAAGTGGCAGGAAAAAGTTCTTCCAGCATCTGGTTAAGCTGTCAAACGCAGAATATCAAGAACATTTAATAAATGATTGTCACATGTGCTGCGTCTAAACAAGAAAGGAAAAAAAACGAAACGATATCTGTGGCTTTCTCAGGCCGGTCATAAGCCCGCCCAGTCATCAAACTCAGAATTAATAATTTGGACAACTAACATGCCTGTCTCTCTGCTTAAATACACCCACTCTTCAGGTGGACATGTTATACATGAACCACATCTTCCACTAGCCAAAGCTAGCAAGATAGTTCTACATGAACGACACAGTAAGCAAAGTTAATCTGCTAGGCTTTTCTCCCAATTGTTTTCCTTTGGACATGTCCTAAACAAGCAGCCAGGTAGCGCGCGTTCATGTTTTTCTGAGGAGAATTTTTTATTTACTATTATTTTGGTTCGATTAAGCTCACTTTTGCTGGTTTCTCCAAAGTTGCTTTCCCAAATTTCAATTAAAAATAAGTAATCACAATACTTTACCTTTTCATCAGATTAGCTCTGCGTTTGTTTATATTTAATGCAAAGTGAGCCAGAAAATAAAACAACCCATTGGTCAACACAAGAAGTCCATTTTCATTACCGTCAGAGATTATGGTTATTATGACCGAACAGACTTCTGAGTCTGATCATAAGTTCAGAGGTCATAACATCCTGACCTGCTAGTTGTTGTGGGAATGAGACTCATAATCATAGGAATGTCTATGCTTCTGAATAATTCAACTTAGAAAAAAAAAAAAACCTCTCCCCAGTCTGTGGGATCATTGTATATGTCTCCCCTTCCCTGACTGACAGTCGCAGAATATTAATTTAAACATTTGCATTGACAGCTCTTTCTGCCAGACACAAAGTACGAGTTTGATCCAAAGCCAGATGAGCTCTGGCTACATCAGTGAAGTGTTTATTTAAATCTCCAGAGATATCGTAGACTGATCAGTGTCCATGAGTGGATTGCAGAATGCCGTAAATGCCAATGTGTGACCAGTCCCTGGAATACAAATAAAATGTGTAATAAGATAAAAATGCAATAACTCAATTTGATAGATGCTACCTAACAAGGCTTGGGATTTAATATTTACAGCTGGATCTTAACTGTTCTATGATTAGTGAGACTAAGGGAGTAAAGAACTAAATATTTTGTTGCCTTCCATTAAACATGAATGTTGGTATTTTCAGCTCCAAAGAGGAACTTTTGGTTTGAGTCCATTTTGGCGACTTTGGTGACAAAGCAAGATGTTTTAAATAATTTCTGTTCTTGTCCTGAGCATGTTTTGGTATTGTTTCCTTTTCTTTAAACAATCAACGTATTACTAATAATGAATATTTGCAATGGCAAGTGAACAATAGGCTGTTAATCGGCTATGTTACACCTACCCAGCCGAGCATCGGAAGCGTTTACAGGCAAATGATGTGCTGTATAGAAATAATATCCTCTCTGATTGTCTTGTTTGTTTTTGTAGGTAATGAAGAGGCGTTAGACAGATCTGAGTCTGTTTCAAAACCTGCTAAAAAAATTCAAAGAAGCTTTAATGGCATTAAGCTGTGCAGACATATTTTTGGATTTAAAAAAATATATGCAGTACTTTTTTATATCCTTACTTTAGATGGAAACAAAAATAATGCTTGTGACGTGCAAAAGAAAGTACCAGTAGTAAACTTTAGATTTCATGATTGCTCCATTGCATATTGGCCCAAGTAAATGACTGAATTTAAGTCTTGTATGAATTACAGTTAATAAAATGCATCATTGTCATTGGTGTGTTTACAGAAAGTGAATGTAAAACTACTATAGTCAGTTTAATGCACATTTTAGGGTAAGAAGCTTCTACCCAACAAAATAAAGGAGCCTGAAAACCATGTTTGGTTGTACTGCTCTCTAGAGGTTGAAAACAGAACTATACGACTAAGCCAAAGGACAGAAGTGAGAAAAACCCATTTGTCATCAAGGACAATGGATGAAAGAGCTCAGCTTCACCCTGTACACCTTTTCCTCATGACATTTATAAATAACTGCACACTAATTTCCATCTGGAGGAAACCTTGGCTCAGCAACCTCCACCGACTTAATCTTATCAGAAGCTAGCAGGGGTTCTGCACAATAATTAATCCAATGAAGAAACCATTATATTACAATTTTCTGTTGTGTGTCTGTATGTTTGGAAATACTTCTAAAGCAAGCCAAAGAGGTTAAATGTCTTAGTATTTTCACTCATGCCCTGCAGTCTCTCGTGATGCAATGTGCAATTTGGTCTGAGTACATGAGGGAGCCTTGAACAAAGAGAGGATTAGTCTGGGTGCTGGCAGTGTGGTCCACCAGAACAAAGAGAGCAGAGAGGTTGAAAGATAGAGCATAATCAGCCTGGTGACTGCTCTGCTTCACCCAAGGGAGCAAAGAGCTCTGGAGGACACAGCACTTACTAAAAACTTGAAGGGATAAAAGAGAGAAAGAGAGAGAGAGAGAGAGAGAGAGAAGGAGAGAGCGAGAGCACGCAATATGAGAGGGGAACAGATTGGTACATTGAGGGCGAGGATACGGTAGGAGAGACTTCAGAGACAAGTGTGATTTAAGAAAAGTACAGCAGTCAGGCCATCGTAAAGGATAAAGGGGGAGACAGGGCAGGACAAGTCAGACAGGAACAGGACAGAAGCATGAAGAAAATGATGATGGTGAGTGTTGAGGAAATTATTAAGACTTGACTCCATACAATAAAACTCAGTTGACTCAGATGGCTTACGTTGATGAAAGTTCATACATAAGAAGAATACTCATGAGGAGAAATGATTCAACATCACACTTCTGTACTCGTGTCTTGCTCAATCACATCTGCCAAACTTTTCGAAAGGCATCGCATATATCCCAAAAAACATTACCATTATCAGGGTCGTGTCACATTGACCCACCTAAACTAAACTGTGATGTCACACTGGAGCAGACAATAAGTCTACAAAACATCCTTGTAGATATCAGGAAAAACAGTTGACACTCTCTAAACTGTACTTGGTGATTTAATAACAACTGAACTCTGTCAGGTCTGACTAACATTAGAGAACAGTGAATAAACCTAATTACGTCTGTACATTATAATCTAAATAACTACAGAAATTCCACCACAGTGAGGAGTAAGATAAGAGGGAAGAAAGGCTGCCTGGTCAGAGGCTGGGCATGACTTCAGAACAACAAATGTCATGTAAGCATCAGCTTACAGTGATCGATTGTCCAACCTGATATCTACTGCCAACCCTCCTGCCCGGTCACTTGTCCCCTCTATTGGACCATGCTGTACGGGGTGATATGCTTTCTGTGTGTGGGTGGTTTGTGCAATAGCAACCAACGTGACTGAGGCTGATCAAGGTCTGTTACATATAATCAAGCCAGCAAGTAAGTTACATAGGGAACTAATACTATATGATTTCCATGTAAAGGAATGAAGAAGGAGTGGGCTATTTTTGCATTGGTTTGATTAGAAACTAGCTGTGCCCCAGTTCACGAGGGACCTATTTCAGAGCAAGTCGTAAAACTCAGGTTTTGTTACAGAAGTCTTGCCAATATGTGTGTGTAACTGAAAAGGCATGCAGGTGTTTGCTTACATTTATTGTTAATTAAAAACAAGAAAATAGTCCAAAATACGATGCCTAGGACTTCTGTATTTGTTGCATTGTTATTGAAACATGTATTGATATGAAAATGAGTAGTTTTGTATGGAAGTGTAACTCTGGTATCGTGACACCTCTACCAGAAGTCAATAAAAAGCAGCACGCAATAGAAACTAGCTGGTTGTTAAAATAAAACGTACAAAAAATGAATTAGGGTTTATTATATAAGACAACTAATTAGCAGTTACCAGAGATGATATATCACACAAAACCAGATACTGAAGATACACTTTGTCTCATCAGAATATTATGTGAAGTCTGTTTGATAAAACATGAGCACAGCATGACCCCTGCAGGCAACTCTTTGTATCACCACTCCCCTATTTTAAAACGGTATTTTCTGTCCAATTGGCTTAAAACTAAAGTCCCTTAGGTCAAAAGAAATAATCAACAACTTTTAAGTTATATTTAACAAAGAGTTTGACGTATACATGTTTTGATCACAAAGCAACAGGTTTTCATGAACCTGACTCATATAGTGTGTGTGTGTGTGTGTGTGTGTGTGTGTGTGTGTGTGTGTGTGTGTGTGTGTGTGTGTGTGTGTGTGTGTGTGTGTGTGTGTGTGTGTGTGTGTGTGTGTGCTGCTGAATGTGCGAACATACCTGGTGACGACCTTCGGGGAGCAGTTGGGATTGCGGCCCATACTTTCCAAGGCAGAACAGTAGGATCCCAGATTTGGCTTCAGACCAGCCTCTTCTAACAGGATAAACATGCGTCCAATCTGATTTAATGTGCCCTTTAAACAGAGAGGGAGACACTGGAGGGTAATTAAACTGTGCTTCCACTCACACATAACCCTAATGTTTATTCCAGAGATGTCTTTTGTTACCAGGGAAACTAGTGGTGATCCAAAATGGCTTGTGTGCACCAAAGCTGGGGTTCCCAAACTTTGCCATGCCAAGGGACCCCCCCCATATAGCATCAAACTCTGGTATGGACCCCCTCCTGCTAAATAAGCTAAATTCCTTTTAGCAAGACTTAACTTCTTAATAAGTTTACTTACTTATTTAGTTAGCATTTAAAAATGTAATTTTTCATCCATTTCATTCAGTTTATGGTTTTGTAAACAGTCCTTTATAAATTCTGTCCCAACAACAATCAACAGTCATCGTAACATAACATGTTTTCTCCCTTGTTAATCATTCATTACATTCAATAAGTATTTTTGTTGTTATTTTACAATACTGAAAGACTGTCGTTGAAAAAGAATACAAGTATGAATATGCAGCAATCAATAACATCTAAAAAGGCATTTATCAAAATGGTATGTTTAATATTAATAGAAGTTGATTTTTATTCCAGTTTCCCCCACTTCCCTCCAAGTTTCCCTGACCCCCATCCTAGAACCCCCTGGCGACCCCCACTTTGAAAAACTGTTAGCTGCTGTAAGGATGTGCTAAAAGGATGTTACTAACTGCTTTGGTTGGGGCTTTGATTTTATTTGTTGAAATAATTTATATTTTTCACTCCAAAGTAACTTTACTTCTAAAAATATCTCACAACATTCTTTCATCACAGCAAACCTCTTTGTTGGTAGAGCGTCAAACGTTTCTCTTCATCGTTTTTTTTTTTTTTTTACTGATTTTCCTCATGACAAATGACATTAGAGGCGCATGCTTCTCACACACAAAAGGCTCAAAATACACACATGTACACAAACAGGACCTGTGGACATGCATTAGTGGAGAGATGTAAGAGTGGGGCTACGCAGGGAGCACACCAGAGCCTTGCTCAAGGGCACCTTGGCAGAATACTCTTGGGAAGTGCCATGGCATCTTTTCAGATACCAGACCAACTTCTCAATTTTGGTCCGCACTGGGATTAGAGCCGATTTACCAACCAAAGTCCTCACAGACTGAACTACTGCCGCCCCAATAGAAAGTGCATACAAAATTACAAATAAACTGATGCTTTTTTTAAACTTTTTTTTTTTTTTTCTTTTGTTGGACTCACCTTCTTGGCCCACACCCTCATCATGATGTTGTAGATGTCTGTGTTAAGATGTTTACGTCGACTCATCACTCTGTGCTGGCTGAGCAGGAAGCGGTGTGCCCTCTCATTTTCCCCCGCAAACACACATGCCTCAAGGTAAGAGTGAATGCTCATCTGGAGGTCCCCACACGCAGTTCCTACAGAGTTCTCCTGTTGACGCTCAGACTTACTGGAATGCATTGCCTGGCCTGCTTCTAGATTAAGCCTACGCTCCAGCTCCTCCAACTCAGCCAGCTCGTTGGCCCTGCTCTCAGCATCAGTAACAGTTTTCTGTTGGCTCTCTTCAGTAGGAACCTGTTTTTTCAGCCTTTTCTGTTTTCCTTCAGCAGCTTTATGCGGCATGGCTGCCATCACTACTGCAGCAGAAGCAGCAGTGGAGGAAGCAGTTGAAGAAACTGCAGCCTGAATCTCATCAGCCAACCTCTTGTGATCTTTGCTTTTCTTAACCGAGGGTACAGTCTTTTTAGCTGTGGTAGAAATAGTCTTGTGCGATGTGCCAGGGAGCATGGAGCTGCCTTTGCTACCTTTAGATTTGGCTGTAGGCTTATTCTGGATTTTCTGCTGGATGTGTTGCTGTTTCTTAAGTTTGATTTTCTTCTCCCGAGATAACTTTTCCATCCATCTGCTGGGCTGAGATTTAGTGGCTGCCTTTGAAGCAGTCTGTCCTGATTTTGTAATGTCAGTTTTTTCTTGAGAGCCACCTTTGGGACCCTTACTGGATAAACTCCCTCTCCCAGAGGAAGGGGCTTTAACAAACTGCACCTTTGCATGCTGGAAATCTAGAACGACATCAGACTGGAGTTGGTGTATCCTTGCCTCAAGCACTGACGGGAAAAACAGAAAGGGATCTTACATCAGTAAACACAAGAAGCGACTAAGCGTTTAAAAATCAATACAGAAAAAAAGAAACAATATGGTGCAACAGGCCTAACAACTCTTCTCTCACAGGTTGGTAGCAAAAATAGTCTGAAACAAATACAACAGGAACCAAGTTAGGAACACAAAGACCCTTCATGAATCAAGGAATACTCCACACACAATGAGCACAACATGAGGTCCATCAGGACCTGTGTACTGTCTCGTTTATCATTAGGAACCTTGGACAACCAAATCTGAATTCTTTCTCAGACCTTACAGAAAGCTGCAAGTATTCAGACTTTTTCTTGAAATTATCTAGAGAGTGCATTTTCTCTGTTGCCATCAGGACACTCTTACGTTTCATCTGCTTGTAAAACTAAAACTACAATTGTTCATCCTCTTCTTCAATCAGATCACTTACTGCTTCTCTGCTTAATAGGTTTAATATTTCATGACAGACTGATCCGATTATCCTTGAATTAAGACTCATAGTTTATTTTCTAATCCAAATTGTTCATCTACTGGCCTAATCATCAGGATTCATTTCAGATCTTGTTTCATATATTAAGGTTTGCTTTATTTGTTATATGAAACGTTACAAATGTTGTCCAAACATATTGCCTTCAGTAGGAATAATAAAGATTTATTGGTTGTAAAATAAATAAAAGGCTAATGCAGTTTTGGCTGGCAAAAAAATAAGCAAGTCAGAGAAATTGATATAGCAGAACTTTAGGTGAAATTGACTTTGAAAAGGATCATTTGTGAGTTCAAAATGAAAAGCTGCCTAAAATAACAAACCATCTAACAACTGAGACTGCTCCAGCACACGTTTCTTTCCATCATCTGCCTTCGGGAGAACAAATGAAACATTTCTTCTTTGGAGCTGAAAGGGAGACTCTGAAAAACAAAATCAGTTTTATACATTAGCAAAGTATTTAAACTATTACTGTTTTAATTCTATTTGTGAATTTCACTGTGGATTAATGAAATGTTGTTGTAAAGTGCACTGGTTATGTATTGTTGTCAGATAGATGTTTTATTTTTTAACAAAGAGGTTGTCTGTCTCCTGCCCAGGGACTACATGTGTAAATTAGCTCAGAGCAAACTCTGGCACAGCTAAATGGTTGTACACTGTCCCTGTCAAAATAAACAATACAAAAATAATATACAATAATATAATGAAATATAATAAATAATAATTACGTCATGCATTAATACAACAAGAAAGACAGAATTCAAAGCTACAAACAACAGTGATCTCCCTTCACAAACTTTTACAGCTCATCTTTTATAGTCTTTACATTCAAATGAGCAGAGTTTTGGTGTTATTATGTCAACAAATAGAAGGAGCTCTGTGCTACACCTGGGTCACTACCTGAGCTTCAACCTCACAGTGCAGCAAAGTGGACTACAACAAGACTGTTTAGGATGAGTTATTAAGAAAGGTCTCAGGCATGGACTCAATAACAAATCATTTAACTAAAAGTTGCAGACTCACATGAGCTAATCCAGCAATATGCTCGTCAAACTATTCGGCACATTGTGGATTTTAATGCACATTGAAGCGTTATGACAGTAAAACATGTGCATCACACTGTAACTGTGCTGAGATACAGACAGTCTCCTTCTGCTCACCTGATATTCTCCTGACTGAACTGTTCCTTAATGACACACACAGCCGACAGCAGTCCGCAAAAGACACGCGAACAGCACACTTTTCAAACAAACTGCGACGGTTAAGGCATTTAACAAAGGCAGACACTCTCAGAAGTGACATGTTGACATGTAATGATCCATAACCGCGTTACTACCGAGCACTAGGCAGCCATCTTAAATAAGACCAAGCTAGTCGCTAGTCGCGATCGATGTAGGCTTAAAGTCGTGCTTAGTAGATGGCAGATAAATCGAGTTTCAGTTAGGCTAATTTCTTTGTTAATGGATTTCATTGACATTAATTGACATTAGCCAACTAGAAGATAAAAAAGCCACACTTAAGGAAGCCTGGCTTTTTAATATGAGGTAGGCTCTATTTATTCCAATTCCTTTGAATATTTTGTTACTAATCACTCGACCTATATGTTGAACAGAGCCAGTAAGAGTGAGAAAAAGTGAGAAAAAGTGAGTTGCAAATGTGTTTTATTTTTGTGCCATTACACAAAATTGCTAAACAAGTTGTCATGTCCTTTCAAAAAGTTTCAATTTCACAAGGTCATATAGTGTTGGATTTACAACTTCTAAAATCAACTATGGCTATATGAGACTTAAGGTGACAACATTTTTTAATTAAGCTTTGTGGGATTAATGTAGGTTAATGGGTTGAAAGTGAAACTGAGCATTTAGCAACAAGGGAACTTGTTGTTTGATACAAGGTATTATAACTAATTGTATGGTAACTGAAAGTTTCAGACGTAAAAACTTTGAAAGTTGGTAGCAAAGTGCCGAGGTCATGAAATGTTCCACTTGTGTCTTGGAGCTTTTTAGTTAGTTTTAGTTATCAGGCCCATTATGTCAATTAAGTCTCATCTTTCATCAGAACTTAACAGGCAGGTATCCAATTATTTAATGCTAAACATTTCCTAAAATATGTTTTATTTTTATTTTTCTGTCTTTACAGTGCAACTGAAATGTTCACTGTCTGCATCTTAGGGGTTTGAAATGAATGTTGAATTTTCTTCTGGCCTGCAGATGGCAGTCTCCCCACATGAAGGCCCACTCAAAGTGGAATAGAGGTCAAACGGTCCAATGTGAAAATTAGACTTACATTGATTGGTACATGCAAATGTTTTATATCACATGTACCTGTTTGTTAGTTCACTGAGATGTTGAATAGGTAAATCATGTCATTTTAAAGACACAGGTTCAGTTGAATTTAGCAAGGACATATGACCATGCTCTTGTTGCTTTTTTAAGATTTATTTTTGTGCTTGTTGTGCCTTTATTGTAGAGAAAGGACAGTGGATAGAGTCAGAGATCAGGGAGAGAGAGAGAGGGGATTGACATGCGGGAGGGGAGCCACAGGCTGGATTTGAACCTGGGCCGGCCGCTTGGAGGACTACGGCCTCCATGCATGGGGCGCGCACACTAACCAATGCCCCACCAGCGCCCCCATGCTCTTGTTTTCGGTGTATGTGCTTTGTTCTATTTAAATGTGTTAAACACACATCAGTCCTGCAAAATTAGCTACTCTACATTTTTGTCTCTGAACAAAAGTCCTGTTTTTTTTTTTCAGCCGGTAAATTTGTAAATTATTTTTCCAAAGACTTTCAACATTAATTGTGGAGTTTTTGTAATGTGATGTTTTCACAGTTTTAAGCTTGTTTTAATGAGTAGAAGTTTTCTAATACACATTATAAACTTCTTTAAACAGGTGAGGGTATGTTGTCTCAAGAATTGTAAACCAGTTACTTTGATACAGTTATTGTTACTTCTGATAAGAACCCCTAATCAACTGAGGAACAAGACTGCATCCAGTCTGAACTCTGTTAAAAACAAATGCTGCCTGAGCACATGCTGGCTTCACCACAGTACCTGTTACAGTCTATTGAAAATGACTGTCTGCCTCCTTCAGTCTGCTTTTGAATTTCAAACGTTTTACAGTCCAGAACAAGTGTGACTCTGCTCCAAATTCAATGTAAAACTGTATCTCATTCATATCCTGTATGCTCTCTGACCCCAGTAGTCTCAGCCTTCCCTTGTCACGCATCCATAAAGCATTCTAAAACACTCTAGCGGCCCTTTTTTGTTTCGGCAGGCTGGAGGTTAACACAAGCACTACTTGACAGAGAGAGAGGATGGTGGTGCTGGGTGAGGGGAGGGGGGGCAGAGAGGGAAATGAGGTCCAGGCAGTACATCTTTTCTCAGTGGAGGCAGTGGCTGAGAGCACAGCGGTGGGTGTCTGCTGCTGAGCTGTAGGTGAGGATCAGGAGGTGTTTGTTGCCACGGTTCACGAGCAGGGCCCCTTGACAGCCTCGTTTGATGTGGTTGGCCCCTGTCGGCGGCTGGCTCTTTGCACTGGTGTGACAGTCATTGCCGGGTGAGTGACTGTCAATGCCCTGGCCGACAAAAGAGGAGAAGACAGGCATTCATGGGGCCTGATAATGGCCAGGCCGGGACAAGGCTGCCATTCTCATACACTTTGATCATGGGGATTCTTTTGCACACCTTTGTAGGGGCTCCCTATTTGTTTAACAGATGGAGAGAGAGCTTGTTTTTGATGGAGAAACTTCTCCGTGAGATGCTTGTGTTGGTAAATGCATTTGGCATGTGTTTGTGTGCCTGCGTGAGTCTCTTGTGTGCGTCTCTGCATCACTTACAAGGAATTAGTAACCTGTCACCATGTGGAGGGGGGCTGCTTCTTAAGAAACTTCCTTTTGAGGCTCCACTTCTGTGACATCTGGGAATACGTATCACAAGCGGATTGAAAACTTCTGTTAAATTCTGATTAAATCTGCTGTTAAATTATTTATCACTGATACAAACATTAATTATGAAATATTAGTCATCATATAATTCACTTTATATCCATTACTGTCCATTAAAAGACTGACATCAGAGTGATCCACTAGGCCATTACTGGATGCTGTGACTCACACAGCTCTTACAGGATTCCCCCAAACAAGGATGCATCCAATAAATGAGGCTGTTATGATGTCTTAAGATGTGTCATACTTACAAAGTGAGTTCTATTGAAATAGATTGAAAAGAACGATGTATACTTCAAGCTTTAATTATGCTCAACCTCAACATTCAAAAAAAAGCTCCTGCACTGAAAGGAGAGAGAAGAAATGCTGAGTCAGCTGAGATGTAAAAGTGCTTTCCCATCCCTACTGTATACCACCTCCATCCTGTCCTGTCCTCTTCCCCTGCGTCAGATCTCTCAGATTAGCAGTGTGCGGATGTTAAATCACCTCTGACAAGTCACATTTTTCATCAAGCAATATCAGTGGTTTTGATCTCTGCTTGCTATCCTGTGAAGAACTGGGTGGCTGGATCTTTCAGAACTCTCCACAGCATCAGATAGACGACCCACTTATCACACTGCCTCTTACAATAGACAATGGTCACGAAGCAGGATATGCAAAGGGCCATGTTGTCACTGGGGCTGAAGTCTGGGTGATCTGGTCAGTTCCTATAACCACGTCCGGATGTTTGTCAGCCAAGCACAGCACCCAGCTTGAACACTTCAAGCACACCTGTGATGTGGCTAACGCTGCAACACACGCAGCATTGGACGTGCCGAGAGGCTAAATGACAGAACAGTTGAAATTATAGGAATTTACTACCCATGAATATTATGTGTGAGGTAATTTCCTCAAGTGATAAAGAAAAAGTATAATGCTGTATTTCTGGAAACACTTTCCTTTTAAAAAGAGAAAAACAAATAAATACACAGGTCAGCACACTTAAAAGCACTAAGTCATGGGTGATCAGCTGAAATACATCAACAAGAGTGAGAAAGAGAAAGAGGGGACCAAGGACTTAGCAAACAGGGAAAACAATTAATAATAGGGAGCTATTACTGAGGGGATTGTCAGTGCTAGGAGGGAGGTCGGGTTTCAGACCCTTTTGAAGACTTTGATGGTACAAAACAGGCCTCATTATAGAGATATTATCTCTATTCATACACTTACAGAGCCGCTTGGATTCCTGCTGGGACAGATTAGGTTCCCCAACTTGAGTACATCCTCCATGGGTGCCTGGCTCAGAGAGCCCTGTTCTCAGCTCAGGGCACACCCACACAGCATAACTCAACTCAAGTCAGCTCAACAGGGGGATAAAGATCCAGTGTAATCCATGCTCTGCACACAGGCATCATCAGGTATGTGGAGGTACCCAGAGGTCTCATGAAATCGCAGCACCAGACCAGTCATGTTTTTTGATAGTATGGCTCTGCTAATGACAGTAGTGGTCCATGCCTGACCTGACAGAAAATGTCTTTGCAACTATTCCAATTTTGGACAAACATTCATGATCCTCAGAGGATAAATCTCAATAATTTGTCAGAAAATGTGGAACAGTCATGTTCCACCTAGCAAGTAGTATTATCAATTATTAATCCCCCAACCATTTGATTTGTGCCATTTTAGTCAAATGTCTAATTGTATCAATACCTTTGTTTGTAACTAAATACATTTAATTTAAAATGAAACTGTGTTTCATCATTTTATTCAAATCATGAATATCATCATCAAAGAGCTGCTAGCACCAGACGTTTCTGTTTCTGATCGGTCATGAGAAGTTAAGCAGCAGTTTACAGTCTGACTTGATTCTAAACAAAAATGTAGTATTCCTTAGTATTCGCTAAGCCCTTGAAACCTACTAAAATAAATAGTTAAATCCCTATGATTTTGAATGTCAAAAGCCCTTTTAAGATTGTGATTTTGCAACAAGCCATAAGAGATTTACATTTCAGGTTTTGGCGTTTGACGACTTGGTCCCACCATTACACCTCCGTTACATTTACACTGAAGGCGAGACTGCACAGGGGCGTAAATATCCCGCCTTGAACTGACAATGTAAAAAGGCTAAAGACGCTGATGGTAAAATAGAGACAGATTGGACATTACAACATTTAACAAAGAAATACATTATGCTTGTTTCCACAGGAACACTGAGCTCATAGACTTAACATTTGCTTCCAAGACACCACAAAGCAATCTGCCGCCACATCTGACACTCACATGAGGCCCCCTCTTTGTTGTTGACCTCAGGGGCCAATCGGATTTTTGAGAAGTTACAGTACATCCAATGATTGTATGATTTTAATTACAGGGAAATTCGGCAAAGCAAAAAGGACCGGAACATCCCTGGTTTGTTTGCATGTGTTTGTGTGTTTGGCAGAAAGACAAGCGAAACTAAGTTGTCCACCATTACACGAAAGTTAAAATTATTTTACAAAAGAAAGACATAACCAGATACAAGTCAGCGGGGAAAAAAGCATTTTAATTACATCCACGGTGACAATGCAATCCTCTTTCCTACATTGTAATAATATTATCTGACACGACTGGTTGGAATACATTTAAGTTCTTACTGACTTAGTGTTCAAAGTAATGTATCTTGAATATTTGACAAATAAGCAGTTAACTGATTATTTCTTTAAATGTCAGTATATATTTACTGTTCCTTCTAAAAGGATCTTTATCCTAAAAATAAGTTTGTGCTTTTAATTTTGGGACAACAGATTGATTTGTTTGACCGGCCTCTCTACATGACAATTAGGTGATCAAAAAAGTCACAAATTATAATGTAACTTCAATGACTGAATTTTAAAACAATGGCATCTGTTCTTAAGAAATATGACCTACTCAAACAGAAAACACGGCATAATAAATAACCAAGTAACCAATAGTTTCATGCAGCATCATGGGCCTCACATTATACTCTTTATTAAAACATTCTATATTTTTGTGTATTTACAAGCATTGCAGCAGCTGTTAAAACACCTTGTATAACTTTTGGAAATTTGACCTATCACACTGCTGATGGAGACATGGAACCTACAATGCAGCTTAACTCTGTTTACTTTACAACGACTTAGATGTCCTACAAATCATTGTACATGTTGGGATTTTCTTAATGATCTGGAAAAAACCTTCCTACAACACTAACAAGAAAACACATTTTCTTCATCTCTTTCTCTTAATCCCACCAGTTCGTGATGTCCTCATGTCCTTATGTCAGAAAGTTCAGAAGGGTTGTGAGTAAAAGCTATGAAGAACAGAAGACCAGAGAACATTATTAGCCACTGTAGTGTGGTTTAATTGAGGGTGAAAGAGGGAGATTTTTTTTTACGAAGGTCCCAGCATAGATCTATGCTGAAAGTGGCTTTGATGAGGAGCCTGGTGGGCACCAAAGACCAGAACTTAGTGGCAGGAATGGCTTTGGGGGATATGGGGGCTGGAGCTGAGAGCTTGGAGAAAGAGGTGAGTGGTCTTTTTTTCACATTTTTTTTTTTTTTTATGATGTTAGGGTTTAAATAGGGGCTAGGGGGACAGCAAGTCTCTGGGGGCAGTTAACAAGCTAAAGAGTGTGAAGTGACTGTCACCCTCTTTGAGCACATACTTCTCAAACACACTTCTAGAGCCAGAGCCGGACAAGCTTTGCCTCAGGGTGGTACTCGTAATTGAAACAGTGACTCTTTTAAAAGAGAGGCCATTGCCACTGCTAACTAGACAGGCCCAAGAACCTTTGCATTTTCATGAAGAGTCAATCTCTCTTTTTTGGTCGCTGCATTTGCTTGGCCTTATGATGTAAATTGTATCATCTTCCTCGGTCCGAGAAGACGGAATGAATGCACCAACACCTGTTTCATGAATTGTTTTTTCCATCCTCTCAATAAGCTGTCAGACACTCAATTCTCTCTTTTGGAAACCTTTGTTGTGCAGCCAAATACAACAAATGTAGGGGCTTCTTGCTGTTGGGAGGTCACATGTGGATTTCCTGAGCACATTCACAAAACATGTTTGCTGACCGTTATGTGAAAAAATGAGTGCACATCTGTTGTCTGCAGCCAATTCACTATCACTCATGATGTGCAGTAAATGGAGCTAGATACAGCAGGCAGTTAGCTTTGATTGGTACAAAGACAAGAACAGTGGTTCTCAAATGGTCTAACCTCAGGACCCAGTATCAACTCCCTTGGGAAAATTGCGACAAATTCCAGATACTTTTCAACCAATCAGAATGAGTTAATTAAAAAATTTACAGTTTGGAAATCTTGGAACCAAGTGACTATTGTCTGAAGAAGATGAATCCTTTGTGGCCGACAGACAGCATTCCTGGACTTCTACTGTAGCCAGAGGATTTACAGAACTGTTGGACTAGCTACTTGTGACATGAGAGAGGAGTTGAAGTTGAGGGATGATATCTGCGACCAGATTATTATTTGTACAGGAATCTATTTATATAGATCTATAAAAAATTTATTTGTCAGCTGTAGATAGATTATAGTTACTTTGATTACATGTTAACCACTCTTGTTTTCCACACTCACTTACATACAACTGTTTGGTGCTGCGACTTGATTGGTCGGTACTACTCAAAAGTAAAGTCATAAAAAGTAAAGTCATAATATATCTTACACCAAAATCTTTTCTCTGGCCTACAAATGATATTATTATTTGCATCTGTTTGGAAAAAGTAGAAGGAGTAGAAATAGGATTTCTGGTTACTTGCTGTTGCTTAAATTTAAAGACAAGTATGAACAGCAGTTGCTTTCGAATTTTCCAGGGAATTTAGGGGATAGTTTGGTATATTGCTATTTTTATCATAAAACAAAATCATGACTAAGATCACTGACAGACACATAAGTAATAGAGCCTCTTGTTGGCTGGATGGAGGAACAAAGCTTCTGATTGGACATCAGACTAAACTCAAGGCTGCATGGGATGATTAGGTGGACAGCTATTGTTATATTATAACAAGGAAACATTAAGTATTGTACTGTACCTGTTACTTACTGTATAGAGTTTATATAGGAAGATATATTTATATATCTAGACACCAGATAGCCTAGTCGTTATGTCACATGCCCCATGTGCGGAGACTGTGGTCCTCATCACAGCAGCCGTCGGTTCGAAACTGGCCGTCGGTTCAAGTCCGGCCATGGCCCTGGATGCATGTCATCCCCCACTCTTTGCTCCCAACCTTTTCAGCTGTACTAATAAAGGCAAAATGTCATTGCGACTTCTTATAGGGACTGGATAGTGGTATCATACCTAATTAACTTCAAGCAATAAAAAAAATACTGCTCACAAACATGTCAAACCTGATATTTTTAAGTATCATTTTTCACGTTATCATCTGAAATAATTCTATCTTAGCTAATGTCAAAGATACAGATTCATCCCTGCTAACTGGAATATATTGGCGGGATTTTTATGTTGGTCCTAATCAGGTTCACCGCACAGGTTGTAAAAAACAGACAAGAGTGCAAAAAAGTCACAGAAAAGGGGTTCTTCATTTCCGTCCCGCACTACCACATTAAATAGGAAAGATCAGAGAGGGTGTTTCATTGAAATATTAACAAAGGTGATCAGAAAGTCTCTCAGGCTTCATCTGGACTAACTCCACCGACACTCCTGTAACCTGCTCTGTGTTCGCGACCGCTTGATGATTCAAACCAGGAGCCGTAAAAAAACGGAAAGGCTCCCTTAATGTGCCCCACGTGTCCAGAGAGAAGAAAAGAGAGGCAAAGGTGTCCAGAAAACGTCTCAGGGGTTCAGTCGGCAGCAATGGAGCCCATTTACCCATGTTAATAAAATACACCATTGTCACATTGAGGGGATACAGTAGACGTTATGGGACAAGAAGGGGATTTAACGTTTTTTTAGGTTTATGTGACAAAAAAAAAAAAAAGAAGGGAGGAAAATAGATAATCCTCAGGTGAAAAGCAAATGACTCAGAATAAACTTTTCAGAGAGAGGATAAAATGAGGACGGTGCTTTATGGAGGCTTTTTCATTGTTTGAAATGTTTATGAATGAGTGCCGTGGCCCCACCCTCCCTCCACCCTTCTCCTTTCAAGCCCCTAGATGCTGGCCCTGCCCAGGATAAAATGCAGGACAGCTCAGCCTATGCCTCCACAGAAGAGAGGACTGACTGACTGCACACAGCAGAGCGTGAGGCTGTTCACTCACTGCTTCACTGCCCCGTGCAGGCTGACACACACCCGCTGACTGCCGCTCACTCTGACACTTCCAGGCACACTCTCTCTCTCTCTCTCTCTCTCTCTCTCGCTCTCTCTTTCGCAAACGCACACCAACTCCCTCTCCCTCCCTCACTCTCTTGCTCAATCCCTCTCTCTTTCTCTTAGTGTCACACACTCATACACGCGTGCACTCTCTCACACACACACACGCACACAAACATACAGAGTCACTCATTCAACTCCCTCTCAGCCACGGGTCAGCAGCTCAGACAGACACCTTGTTCCTATTCAGCTGGAAAGCTTAGAGCATCGCAAGGTGCACACACACACACACACATACTTGAATACACACTCACACAGAAACACTTATACACATATAGACACACATGCACATCCTCATACATCCCAGGACTTTATCTCTGGTACAGGAAAGAAGACCTCAGACCAAGGAGGAGAGAAAACAGAGAACAAGGAGGACACCAAAGACAAACTTTTAAAGATGGGTTTGTGACATTACAGCACTCTATGAAAGGACCGGACAAAGAATTGAAAACCAGCTGAAGATGACAACTGGAGAAACTTTGACAAGCTAGTTTCAGTAGGAAGTCCTGCTGCCAACCCAGAGTGAAGATCGGTGACATCTAGAGGGTCTGCTCTGAGAGACATTTCCATCATTTTTCTTTCTAGGACTTGCACCCTCCTGTCATCACCTCCATTGGGGTTGTCTCCCAATCACCAGCATGCCTACAGCTTGCACAAGGTGCACCTTGGGAGTCTGACCCACCATGTGCAGATGGACGCCGTCCCTAGCTCATCTCTGTCCTGAGCCTGCCCTTGGCACCACCTCTCCTGGGCGACCTGTCCCCTGCCCAGTGCAGCCTCCCTGTGCCTGGCATGCCTCACCCTGCTCCTGGCCACCTCTGGCACTGCCGCAGGGGCCTGTCAGCCCGGGGTAGGGCATGAACCTCTTCAGGTGCTGGCGAGTGGCATCAACTGTTCATGGACTTTGGAAAGGCACACACGCAGTTACAATCACCTGGAGGGCGACGTCCGACTACGGCGGCTCTACTCTGCCAACAAGTTCTTCCTCTGTATTGACAAAACCGGCAAGGTGGACGGCACACGGCGGAAGAACTACGCAGACAGTAAGTAGCCGGCGCAGCTGAGTTCTTTATCTCAAATGGTGTCACTGAGCAGACAGAATCCCCTGTGACGTTTGCACTTTTATTTCTTATCGCTGGACTTTCTTATCTTTTCACTTTTATAGCTGTTCACAGGGATATCCCATTCTATCACTGCTGAGCGTTGTGTGTTGTGTTTGGAGCATGAGAGGCGCGTTGCTAGGTGAAGAGGGAATACCCTTGAGTGGATTAAAGCTCCTCAAAGGGCAGACAGTACGGGAGAGCTGACTTGAGGAGAGACGTTGAGCATCAGTTGCTGATGCTAATTTGGTTTGGAAAAAAAAGCTTCAATGTTAGTGTGGATTAACTTGTCTAAACTTTGCTGAGAGTGCATGCATTGTAGAAGCAGCTGTACATGCTTCTGTAACAAATGCTAACAGCGATTCATGTGTTTTTTTTCATTTGATAAGTCGTGAATAATGCTACTGCAATGCAAAGTGCTACAAAAAGCCTTTTAATGCAGGTTTTTGCTTTGTTTTTCTAGCAATAATACGTCCAGTCTCTTTGTAGAGTCTCTTTTTATTGTTACTCTTCCTTCCCCCTCACTTCGTGCATCATATTAGCATCAGCATTTATTTCCAAAGTGATCACTTTGGTTAGCATGCAACAAAGCAGGCCAATCATATTTTAATTTGCTGCAAAGATTGTAGTCTACACATAATCTGTTGTTAAGGGATACCTTGGAGGTGCCTCTACAGCAGTAGTTCCCAACATTTTTTCCTTGGAGCCCCCCTCCCTACTTGTATCCAAGAAAAGCTGAGCCCCTCAGGACCCACAAGAAAGAAAAAGTGGTACAATGGTGTCAAAAGCTAACATCAACAGGAGAATCCTTAGAGACATATGCCTTTGACTGTATTATTAATGTGACCAACATGATGAATGTTGGTCATGACTTTTTATATAAATGAGTGAGTCAGAGTTTTTCCATACTGCTACTGGGGGCCAGAGTCCAGCTATAGGCCACCGGTCTGTTTCAACTGTTTCAATAAGCTCCAAGCTGCAGACTGGATGACATTTGTTAACCTGTCGGGATTAGTCACCTGACAGAATCTTTAACGCTTTACACAAAGGTAGAAATTCAAGTTGAGATGAATTATGACACTGTTAAATTTGGACCCGCGAGTGTATCCCAGTTGGGGCATTATTCTTGCATATTAGTAGTAATATGTGTCAGCTACCATAACAATATATTTCACCCAGACTTTGCCTGAATTTAACACTTCATATATCATGCTGGAAGACTAGAATAGATCTACTATGGCTGCATGAGGAAGTTTGAAGAGTTGTTCAGACTCTTTGGAAAATAGCGAATGCCAGAGGATTATGAAATGTGTGTTTATTCTTTTTATTGTAGTGTCATTAATGCTAAGGTGTTTACTGTAGCTCTTTATGAAAAGAGCAGCCCCCTTTAATGTAAAGTTCTCATACCATTCAGCCATCATCATCTCATTTCCTTCGGTGGAAAGAACGATCCTCTCTGTGCTCACACAGAGCGAGGGTGTTTACCTGTGTCCTGAGCCGAGCACTGTGCCAAACCTTTGCTCATGTAGAACTTGTGGTCAGTCTGTGGTTGCAATTTACAATGGGGGGGATCTGGTTTAAGGTTGATTTGAGGTCTAGTTCTGTTCCTGTATAAGGGCTACCAATCAGGCTTGAAGCCTCCTGACCCTGACCATTTCTTGATACTGATACGGTTGCCATGCGAGTGGCAGGACAAGCAGGAAGTTGTACATTTTTAATGACATGAGCGCTGACAAAGAAACTGGAGTGCAACATCAGTGTCTCATAAAAAGGACTCATTTAATTTAATTTAATTTGAAACACTTAAAAATATATTGTATGATCTGACATAAACCCTAAAAACAGAGCTTAACGTACGATAGCTGAGCTCAGAATGCTGTCCTGAGCCTTCAGAGCAGCTTCCACAAACTCGACCCGGCAGTCTGCTTGACCCCTCCTCTGTCCTCTGTGTTGCCCTTACACTCTTGTCGACACAGCCACATTACCCCGACAGCTCTTGCCTGCTACACCCAAGCCCCGTCCCTCACCTCCACCCCACTCAGTTTTTCCATCCCCGACTCCCAACTCCCTCTCAGGTGCAAAAACAGTTGGAATTAGTCAACAGGCTCACTGCTAATTGAGGTTGGAAAATATTGTATCAATCCCAGCGGAGCAGGGGCATGGAACAGCTGAGGGAAGAGCTGAAAGGGAGAGAGGCTAAGTTTGAGGGATGGAGGGTTGAAAGGATAAGACAGTGTTAATGGGACATTTTTTTTTTTTTTTTTTAAACAAAACACATATTGTAAAGTATTTTCTTTCTCAATCAGTTGGTTAAAAGAAACATATTTGCTAAGCTGTGGCATGCATAAATATCACACGAAAGTCACACAACATGCCCTGCCACGTTTTTAAGGACTGGCAATAGACACTCTTTAAGTGATGTAATTTAAGACAGTCATCAGCAACAGACAGGACAGGTTGAATGTGTTCAAGTAACATGTTCAAAGAATTCTGAACAAAAAAAAAGTCCTGCCTTGTAAGCACACAAGCAGAACTATACACAAACACACACTCTAACACACACAAACACTAAAGTTTCAAGTATCCATTCCTGAAGTTTGTGATCAGGTTGAAGCGAGTTGTCAGCTTACAGGCCCGTTCTTCATTTGTTAACCAAATCAGAAAGACATGAATCTGATAAGAAAATAACTCTTATCAGTCTACAGCTTGTAAAACTGTATCTAGAAATAGATTGAACTGATGATCAAAGTTTTTAAAAATAGCATCAAAATCGCCACATAGATACAGTGCTTTGAGGCACCAAAGAGTTGGGCCCCAACATGTTTTTCTTTTGACCTATTGCAAAGCAGAAAAGCATTGAGGGGAAAAACACACCCAAGTGTTTAGAAAAGCTCCAGAGGCAGGTACGCATCATATCCGGTCCTGGGTCATCGGTCAGCGCCGGCTCATTAGACAGAGCTGCGACTCAACAGCTGTGTGGGCACACCCAACGACCATCTCATGATCAATTCAAACAGCAAGTCATTGAAGTCAGTAGAGGAAAGGACAAAAATTTATCTTCTACAGCCACTATTATGAAATGCAATCACTACAATGTTGTGGATTTTATGGCTACACATTCTCCAGGTGTTTTTTTACATGCTGCAGTGGATACATTTCTTGAATTGCTTTATGGGCTGTTAAATTGTGGGTGTGTGTGGCTAAACGCATCAAACCTTTGTACAGCCTCCACGTAGTGACAGCCCATTCACCCTTTAGAATTAAGGTGACTTCATCAAGCGGCTTTACAGTACAGAAGTCATTGCAATCATACTAGCATCATTCTGATTCTACAACCGATCTTACATCAAGGGAGTGTTGTGAATGCAAAATTTTCCCTGGTGTGCAACATTTTGCTGTTTTGATGTGAGAGTTTTCCTGGTTCATGTGTGTGTTTGACTTGGATAGGACCCACGGGAAGAAAATCTTCCACCCTGCTGAAAAATGTTGTGGAAATTATTCAAACTTGTTTGAGACAGGGGAAACTGTCACTCGCCAAGGAGAGACTGACTTGGATTTGAAATGGGAAAAGACAAGCAGAGTGCTACAGACAGATGACTAAATCCACCTGAATGTTTTGACAAGTTTGACAGCAAAGGCAATTATGGCGATATTACCCTCCACACATTTATAGCTGAAAATGCAACACTGAGTGAACAAAAGTAGAAAATTCTTTAAATGTTACGTTTGACAGATTAATGAATTAGACATTTTGTCTAAAGTATCTAAAGTGGCTACAATAAATTGACTCAAAAAAAAAGTTATTAATGGTTTCAAATAAGTTGTTAGTATTAGGCTACAACGAGAACATTTTAGAATTTGGCTATAATACAGTGGCGGCTGGTGCGTTGTTCTACAGGGTGGGCACAATTTCTCACTGATGGACCAGGATGTTTATCTTAGTTTGTTAGCTTGATGCTAACACATACAGGACTAGAGAATGCCTTTCACTGCCAACAAGAATAAGCATTGCATCGTAATTTTTTTTTTTTTTAAGATTTATTTTTGGGCATTTTGGGCCTTTATTAGAGACATAGGACAGTGGATAGAGTCAGAAATCAGGAAGAAAGAGTGTAGGGAATGGAGCCACAGGTTGGATTCGAACATGGGGCACGCGCTCTAACCACTGCGCCACCAGCGCCCCAAATTGCATTGTAATTTTAACGTAACGTCTGGTGACATAAATTATTTATGTTTCCTCTCGTTTTTGGCTTATCTCTCTTTCTTTCTTTTCTCTCTCTCTCTTCACCATCTGCAGCTGTCTGTCTGTCTAGATCATAGGCGACCGCCTTTATCGCCTATGATCTAGAGCCAGCCCTGATTAGTCATAAGTAGCTGACCTTACAGCTTGCTCTTTACTCACTTTATAATAATAAATAATTGACAGACGACACTGAAGTTAAGCAGAGCCCTGAAATTATATCCTGCTTTATTTTTTAGTTTAGCCTCAAAACAGAAACACAACTTTTCTCCTTCGACAAATCTTTTCTGTGCTGTCTGCTACTTTAAGGTGTCAGAAAGTTTATTTTGTCCTGGCAGTTCTTCGTCCTCGCCATGACTCATCATTAATTCTGCTAGAGCTCAGACAGGGACGTGTGACTGGATCAACAGCACCAGGGGCTGGAGGAGCCAAAGAGGGAAGCACCTGGCTGAAGGAAGTGCTTTGGTGTTTTGAATCCTGAGAATACACATGTTAATGAGGCTAGGAGAAGGGCCGGGGCGTGCTCTGCTCAGTATTGAGGTGGAAATTAAAGGCTAGAGGAGTGCTGGAGTGTTTCCCGTTGCTCATTAGGCATTATATAAGGTCGCCTCTGGGTCGTCTCATCTAAGAGGGGATTCGTGGACATTTTGGATGCCAACAGGAGGGTAAAATCCCACGAATCGTGCATTTATTAGCTATAAGG